CCCCCCCCTTGCTGGCCTTAATCCCCCTGCAAGAACGGAATCGGATTTGCAATTGATGTGAATGTTTTCGACGTCCATCAACCATCACATCTATGACCCATGGTCCATCGTCTCCTGAATAAACCACTAACCTTCCCTCCCTGCCTGCCACTATAGATAAGGATGATGAGGCCCTGAACCGCTGGAAGGCCTCGCTCGGCCTCAACGCCGGCACCCCGATTGGCGACCCCAGCGATCCCCGCAAGTGCATTATCAAGTCCCTGGCCCTGGAGGTCGAGGGTCGCCCCGATGTCGTGATCGACCTTTCCGCCTCGGGGGCGCTGGAAAGCCTCAAGGACAAGCCCTTCACCATCAAGGAGGGCGCCACCTTCCGCATCAAGGTCGTCTTCCAGGTGCACCACGAGGTTCTCAGCGGCCTCAAGTACCTTCAGGTCGTCAAGCGCAAGGGTGTCCGGGTCAGCAAGGATGAGGAGATGCTAGTAAGTTTACATCCCATCCTCTTAACTCTTCTAATCGAAGCCGTTTTGTTCACAACCTCTATAGGGAAGCTATGCCCCCAGCACCACCGAGAAGCCCGTCTACGAGAAGAAGTGTGAGTGCAACAACCCCATGATCCGTCAGATATATACCTTTGGCCCCACCCCGTTACAAGACTAACCAAATCTCCCTTTCTTTCCGTTTGAATAGTCAACCCCGACGAGGCCCCCTCCGGCATGCTGTACCGTGGCCACTACAACGCCGTCTCAAAATTCCTCGACGACGATGACCACACTCACCTTCTGTTCGAATGGTCGTTCGACATCGCCAAGGAATGGCCCAACTGATCTATATCGACTTGGTTCTCTGTTTCGCTGTCTGTGTTTGCCTGTCCTCCTTTCCAAGGCTTTCCTCGAAACTACATATTGACTCCCAGAAGTCAACAACCCCCCATCTGTTCATGAGCAACATAAATCTTCTTGCCAGTATTTACAAGCGTTGGGACGCATTCTTAGTTTATTTGACTCGAATCTATTCTCATATTTCTTCTAATTCCTTTTTGGCCTTTTCATGGCCGTCGTGGCGCTGGTTTAATCCCTTGGGAGGTTGAGATGACATGGACTATACATATATAGTAGTATATAAATATATATACATACCTAGGTACAAACGGATGTGTTGCGTCTAACATGGGTAAAAAGTTCAACACAGATATCATGGTGCAGATTCCTTCTGATTGGTATCACAACGAATGTCAGATTCATTCACTTCAGTTCTCCTGACAATGTCTCCGTCTCTAACATAGCACTTGACAGCGGTCTATAAAAAGCTTCGATATTTACCCAGCACCCAACCATTTACCGAAGGCTAAAACAAAAGTAGTATTGGGACAACCCAAAGAGAAGATATGGAATGTAAGTAGTGAGAAATCGAGGAACAAGATATGTCTCCCAACACCCAGGAGAGGACCATGCACAAAGAACCAGAAAAGGGAAGAAGTAAAAATAAATGGGTATCACAGAAAGTAGTCAATCACGGGGCTTTGGCCATCCTTATTCTGCTGCGCCTGCTGCTCGCCGCGATGGATATCATTCTCCGGGGCAGCATCGAAGATATTGAAGTAGCGCTCGCCGGTATCGCTGACCTCAAGCACACTGGCGAGGTTCCCGCAGCGGTAGCAGTAGTTCGGCGCGCTCCAGACGGTACTCAGCCGGTCGTCGTAGAGCACCTGGTAGCCCTCCTGGCAGAGCTGGTGGGCGCGCAGGATGTGCGACATACTGTTGACCTCCAGAAACTTGCGGACGACCTGGGCGCCGAAGGTGTAGCCGGCGCCGCGCGGGGAGAGGGAGAACTCGTCGCGCTCGGTGTCCGGGTCGGACCAAACGAGGTCGGCCATGGGCCCCTCGTGGGGGATCTCGCGGAAGCGGTCGATGATCTTGATCTGGTCGATGGAGTGGATCGAGGGCGAGAGGCCGCCGTGCACGCAGAAGATTTGGTCGTTGATCACCACGCTCAGCGTGAGGAAGTCGAACATGTCCGTGAAGTAGTGCCACACATTGGCGTTGCCGTACTTGCGCGCGCACTCCGTGTAGAACCCGTACGACTGCGTCACGCCGCGGGACTCGTGGTTGCCCCGGATCAGGTGCACGCGCTGCGGATACCGCAGCTTCAGGCACACAAGAAGTGAGATCGTTTCCACGCTGAAAAGTCCGCGGTCGACGTAATCGCCTGGAGGCTAGTCAGCTTCGGAGTCTTCCAGGTGTGCCAGTACTCCGCCAAGAGGTCCCCGATCCTCCCCGACGACGAGTCTACTTGATCCATTGCCCACCAACTTCCCCCAAGAAGCAGGAATACGAACCTAAAAACAAGTAATTCGTATTCGGACAGAAACCCCCGATCTTGAAGATCTCAATCATATCAAAAAACTGGCCGTGGATGTCTCCAACCACCGTGACCGGAGCAGCAATGTGAACGACATTGCTCTCCTTCATCAGCAGCTCCTTGGCTTTGGCGCATATCGCCTCGATAACAGAGTCTGCCAGCAACTCCTTACGATAAAGTCTCTCGATGCACTCATCCAGATCGATACTTGCTGGACAGGGCAAGAGTCAGAAAGAGGTAGCCAAGTTGCGCGGCAAATAGTCATCGGGAAATGCCTCGGCCCCGGGGGCGGCGGCGGCGCGGCGCGGCGCAGCGGGAGAGAAAACTTACCCGGTAATCCAGGCATTTTTGGACAGAACTCAAGTAAATCAGGCCCGTTGTGAGATGCGTCTTTGTTCGGTATCTTGATTCAATTTTGTCCGTCTGATTACGGCCAAGGTATTGGGGAGACGCGCGTAGTTACGAAAGTCAAATGTTGAGTGATCAGACTTGGATGCGTGAATCTCGCTCGGGAAGCAGCGGTGAAATCAGATATGTTGAGCGCGGTTTCAGTGACGGACACGAGGCAGAAGACGGAGAGCTTGAGATATAGGAAGGTCGTCTGAGAAAGGGGTGTATTGTTTATCTTGGAGGGAGGTTCCTGCAGTAGCTCGCATCGTGGCCGACAGCTGAGTCCACTGGAAGAGTAGGGGGACGGAGCGCGCGCGTCTCACAATGATGAGCGAGCAGGAGTCTCCGAGCGCGGCGCGGCAGAAGATGGCTAGAAGATTTGAACAGCTTACTAGCAGCTTGATCCAGACATGGTCAGACGAGTCCCGAAAGCTGAAAAATCAAATGGTCCGATGTTGAGGGGTGAATCCCAACGGCTGTTCAGCCTCGCGGGGAGGCAGGATTCAGGCCCTCCGCCATTTTTGCCGCATTTTACCGCCTGCTTGGTAGTCATCTGAGTCCATATATATACTTGGTGATCACATGCTCTTCGTTCTAGTGCTGAATTTACTCTACTTCAATGTTTGGAAGAATGAGAGTTGTCTAAATAAGAGCTAGTGGACATTGGTATATACTTGTTGACATAGAATCAGCTCTATCACGGATCTCAAATTGTAACCAGCCATCACCGTGCCAAGAGTCCTTGGGCCTGTGCCTGGTCTTCAGAATCCGTCTCCTCCTCTTCCTCTTCGTATTCATCCTCATCTTCCTCATCAGTTTCTTCTTCTTCCGTCTCCTCCTCATCGGTCTCGTACTCAGAGTCAGTTACCTCCTCTTCGGAGTCTGTTTCCTCTTCAGTTTCGGCTTCCGGCTCCTCTAGCCACTCGTCAAGCGACTTTCCCTTAGACGAAGACGCTGCTGGGCGACCGGCCTGTGCCCTCTTTGAAGCCGAGGCATTCTGTTCATGCTCTTTGAGCGCCTGATCAAGCCGCTCGCCCGCCGTCATTGATGTCTGTCCCATGGGATCGGACTTGACCTCTGATTCGCGAAGACGCGGGTCGGGCTCTTGCCCAGCTTCAACCCAGTCGGGCAGATTCTCATAGCCCTTGAGACCGAGCATGCCTGCATCTGGCCCAATCACAAGAGTAGATGAGCCTATCAGAAGATCCTTACGCGTCTCGGACGGGCTAGGAGCATGGGGGACAGGTTTGGGTGCGAGGAGAAGTAGATTGGCCAGCTGCGTCATTGAAGGAGACGCGAGAAGGTTTTTGTAGAGTCGTGCACGATCTCGGAGATCGTAAGAGGAGTCGTACCTGGCCAAAAGTAGGATGTACCGCCAAAGCAATGTTATCTGGTCTTCCTCAGGTTCGCTGTGCTGCTCTTCTTGTCCGTTTGTTTCGGGCTTTTCTTCATTTTGAGAGTCGGCCCATTCATTGGGGATCGCGTCTTCCGTCGCAGTTGATGCCTGCGTTTGCGGCTCCGACTCCTCCTTCAGGGGATTGCGGAGTAGGTGATGTAGGTACACTTTTGCGCCAAGGAGGATTATCTGCTGTTTCACGGGCTCGGCCTCATTGGCGAAATCCTGTACCAAGATCCGCAGGACATCAGGAGCAAAATCCCTCTCAGGTTCGGTACCGGCAAACTCTCCAACAAGCCAGATTATAGTGGCTCTCGCATCGGGATTGTTCGTCAATCCTAAGTGCTTGACTAGCTGAATGACTGTCTTCGCGTGCGAGGGTGGGTCCTGCTGGATCAGATGGCGAATAACGGTCAGCGACTCGGATACCAGATTATCGTCCTGGCTCGTGATCTGGCTGAGCAGGATTCGCAGACAGTACGGCGCAGCACCGGTATCAGCCAGCGCACAACGCCCTATCGCGCGTACACTTTCTCGCACCAGCTCCGGTTCTGTGCTTTGCGAAAAATGCTGAAGTTCACTCAGAATCACTCCCTTTAGATGCCGGCCACAATGAGGGAATATTATTGTGAGCACTTCGAGCTTGAGACGCCATATGTGAGGCGGGTCGATAGCATGTATCAGGAAATGCGTGGCATACTTCGTGAATGCCTTGGGGTGTCTAAGAGCTACGACCACAAGATTGTAGAGCGCAACATGCTGAAGATCTTGGGGGCTGCGGAGAAGGGCGATAAGTGGGCCCACAGCAGCTTGAAGGTACTCTGATGTTCCGAGGTGAAGAAAACAGCGGACGACGCTGACGATCACAGCAGAATTTCGATTCTGCAACAGCAACAGACAGGAGCGCAGGAAAAGCTCCAAATCCGGGTCTAGAATCAGTACCTCTTCCTGGTCAGCTTCGTTGTCCTCGGTCAAATCGTCGCCGTGGTCATCATCTTCGTAGAATCCTTTGTTTTCTGTCGCCCGCTTTACCTTCTTGGTTCTGCGAGGAAAGCACTGCCTGGCGTAAAAGGTCAAAAGACGCAGCGTTGCAAGTTGACTCCACTCGTCCATATCGACCAGCTTCTTGACAAGGGTCCGATAGTGCTTGTGAATCAGATCAATCCGATCGGGGCAGACCTCCAGGAACGCGGCGACAGCGGGCCCAAGGACAAAGTACTGGGTGTCACCAAGCAAAATCGTGATATATCCAATAAGCTGCGGCAGGGTGTTGGGATCCAGGCGATAACATTTCGGAATGGCCAACGCCGCGGCCTTGCGCACGTGAGGGCTCATATCCCCGCACCCCCTCTTGATGGCAAGGGACACAATCTGACTGATGACCGGGACTCTGATCCCCGACATGGTGCGAAGCGCCAAAGCGCGCGCATGCGGATTCTGGTCCGTAAGCGACTTCTGAATGGCGTTGATAGATAGCAGTGCAAGGTCCGGCTCCGCCTCCGCATGATGGACCAAGTAGATGTAGACCAGCTTCTTGACCTCGAAGTTGGCACTGGCAACATTTTTGACGACCGCGGAGAAAAATGGCAGTGAGGGCTCCCCCCGATACATCAACTAAGTTTGTCGAGAAGGACGAGTCAGTTATTGTTTCCTAGGTTGCAGCTGGTTTGGGCGGGGCGCTTGGTCCATACTGTGAGCACTCGTCGCATGCCATCGAGGACTTCGCGATCACTCCGACTTTCCAGTAATTTCTTGATGTGCGCAGCTGTCAGATTGCGGGAAGAGACCCCGACACCAGAGCCTCGATTCAAGGCTGCGGACTGGGCGGCCTCAAGGGTGAGCTCTCGGGCTGTTTACAGTATTCGGTCAGTCTACCTGGAGTAACCAGGACAATTGGCGGAGAGTCACCCGGGATGGACAGTTACCTGTTTCCAGCATGGAAGAGATGCGCGAAATGGTCTCCATGTTTGCCTCCGAAGCCCGTCACGGAAAGGCGACAATCGACCAGGCTTGGAGGGTGGGAAAAGCTCCTTGACGCAGAGCTGGAGAGTTGAAGTTTGGGTGCTCGGCAACTTCCCCGGCGGGCAGCCGAAATGACGATTTGAGGTAACGTGCTATCGATTGGGTGGGACCCTTCAAGCCTTCCCGCAGCACCTCAATTTATTCATTCCAATCTACCTCCTCCCCATCACCTCCAGCTTAGCATCTGCAGATGCTAGCAGTCGGACGGATAAGTTGAAATGGCATTGGGAGTCATCTCACAGCTCTCATGTGCAAGCAAAAATAAGAAAGCTATCGTCCAACTTAGCGGCCACGTCTGCAACTTGAACTTGAACTCTAAATACATCCAACATAGCCATGGAATCTACTACCAGACAAATATATTCTATAGGCTCTACTCCACAGTTTCTGCACACAGTCATTCAAAATGCCTCGTCCTCGACCACCCTGATTATATGCTCGACTAGGGATCAATTCTTGATCCGATTGCTCGCTACCACTCGTCCAGCAAGGGGAGAGAACACCAGGCATCACCATCGACTCTATGGCAAAACAATCGAGCTGCTTTCTAGATCTAGTCGGATTAGAGTGTTGTTCTGCCCAACCTTGCAGAATCTACGCGCTTGTCTAGCCGTGATAGGAACCCAGCGTGTTATTCAAGAGAACAAAATGCTTTATGAAAAGACCGAAGCACGGCCCCTTATGGCGGTTCTTGATCCGCTTTCCCTTCATGTCCCAACCACGGAATTTTCTGCGCAAGGTCTATCCAGAACCTTCGCAGCTCTCGCAGAGACCTCCTTCAAAGCAGGCATGAACCTGATTCTGTGCGAATGCCAGGATTCAACGCCTCCTGATTCCTCACTGTGGAATATGCAAGTACCCTTGCTCAATAGTACTGTGCGGGTTTCTGAAGAAACAGCCCTCTTCAGACGAACTGTACCCGTAAAACGTGTCGCAGAACGTTGGTTCGAGTTCCTCGAGAGAGAGTATGCCATCGCAGACACTATAGGTGATGCGGGGGCTAATGTTAAAACTGATGTAGAGATATAGAAACAGGACAAGGATATTTGATAACAGTAACGAAAGACTCCCACAATGCAATGTCTCAAACAACGGGTATCCTAGAAACCAATCCATAAACTCCCGAACCTTCGCCTCCTTACAGATTGCCTCAGAAGATCATAAGCATTTTTCCATATCAGTGATGTAGAGTTTGATATGCGACTCCAGCTTCAAGTACTCGTCATGCGCGCCTTGGATTTCACTTTCAATGTTCTCTTTCAAATCCGCCATCTATGTAGTTGTCAGCCAGACTCAGCGCGGAAACAGTAAAGCTGGAGATAATGATTTACCTTCTTCTCAGTTTGTTCGATTCGAATTCTTCGGCGTTCCATGTCGCGCTGCTTCTCTGCTCGCTCCTCACGAAGCTGCTTTTGGACCTCCCGGAGCTCCTCCATGCGGGCTTGCGCTGCCTCGGCCTTCTCTTGGGCATTCTTCCTTAGAGTCTCAATTCGTTCGTTCCACCGCGTCAATTGCCGTTGTAGTAATTTCTCCGTCTGTTCCACTTCCCTCACGCTGTTGCCCCTTTCAGAGATGGCTTCTCTGTTTCTAGAGGCCCGGGATTCTTCTTCCTCTTCTTTCTGAAGCTCAACGGAGATATCCTCGAGAAGCTTTACACATGCCTGTACATCATTACTGACGACACTGAACGTATCGGACGAAGTCTGCAAAGCTCTTGCCCGTTTCTCCATAGCATCGATCTGAGCTTTCTCACGGTGTAGGCTCTCGGAGAGCTCAGCCAGGGATGACTGCAGAGAGACAGGGCTGTCCATCACGTAAGGCCGTAGCTTTTCGACCTCCTGCCGGGTGCGCACCACTCTCTCCGTTTTCTCTTCGAGCTGGGCCTGTCGTCTGGCCTTGTCCGCCTTGACGCGCTCCAGCGTCTCCGCCACCCGTTCCTGGTTTCGCCTCAATTCGAGAAGCCGTGCTTTCAATTCATCGTTTCTCCGCACCTTTTCCTTGACTTGGGCTTCGTTGGCTTTCAGAGTCCGGCGCATCTCCTCGAGGCGTTGCTCCATTTCCTGATTTTCGCCATAAAGCGTGTCGATGCGCGCTTTCGTCTTCTCCGCCTTATTAAAATGCTCGTCGATGACAGGGGTTTGTGACTCGCGGAACCGGACAAAGTTGATGAGATAAGAGAAAATCTTGACAAGACGATCGTGCGTAGGCTTGGTTAGATCGGTAAAGGTGAAATCGTTGACGCCGCACTTGTCAACTACAAGTTAGCGCCTGAGCCCACAAGCCCTCAATTCGAAATGAATCGTGAATTACCTCCATCATCAGCCGTCGCAAGCCGGTAAAAAAACCCATCAAGTTGCGTGTATCCGTGGGCACAATGTCCGGATAGTCGCCGCAGACATCATCTGCGGCCGCGCGCATTGCCGGCTCGACCGTCTCGCGGGTGTTATTCATAAGGAGTTCCGCGAACCACTCGAAAACCATCTGGATCTGTTGCGGGTTTGGTTTGATCAGGTCGGCGGCAGTGAAGGGTATGCCGATGTCGTTGATACATCCTGCAATCTCTTTATCGGGCTAGAGGGAGCATTAGGACACAGCACCGTAGACAAGGGGGCGCGAGAGGGCGGGCTAGTAGGATGCACTCACCAGGCGCATCAGAGCATCGTTCTCATCTTCTTTCTTGCGACCGCCTCTATTGTGGTGCTGCTGTGAGCTGTGGAACTGTTGACTCATCCGGTGACCGTACGACATATTGCACAGATATTCCGCTTCTAAAGGCGAAACCTGAGCTCTCAACGAAACAAGATGCGGTGCGGAAGTGGTCGTATTGTCACGGGGTGGATGTTATGATGATTGTTTACTGCGAAGGCCTCGCATGGCAACCGAAAACGGACTAGGGGACAATGGAAGAGGGGCACGTCATACAAACGATGCAAACTTACTCCACGCTTCCCATTTTCGATGACTCTGCGGCGAGAGTGACGGGACAATAATGATTATTACTTTGATTGCTGCACGATAGCTCTCATTGAACTTCTTGTCAAGACATCGTCTTCAGAGCTACACCGCGCAACCTCATACATCATGGCAGCTGCCACTTCCACCTCGTCGGACGTCGCCAAGCCGTTCGAGTAAGTTGCCAACCTGAATGTGATGGGCGCTGTGAACGCCCAGCGGCCTCGCAGCTTGCTAACAAAAAGCCAGCATTGTCGCAACGTACAATGAGCTGCTCCGCTCTGACCCAGATCTGACCATGCCAATCGCCGCTATTGAAGCTCTGGTGCTTCTCCTCACACATTCCCCCTCCTCTACGATATCCGAGACGCTCGATCTGCTGGAGAAATCCACCGCACACCTGAAACAGTCGATCCCCAATCCCATTGGTCTTTCTGCCGGAACCGACCTCTTCCAGCGATATCTGATCACTACACTACAGAGACCCGGGCAACTCGGACCCGCTGGAGACTTTAACGCCATTAGGGCGCACCTGCTCTCCAATGGCCGGTTGTTTATCAGACGTGCGAAGGAGAGTCGCGACAAGATTGCGGCGTTCGGAAGAGGATTCGTCCGGGACGGAAGCACGGTGCTGACGAATGGTGGCTCCAGAGTTGTCGCCTCGCTGCTACAGCAGGCTGCCGGTGAGAAGGGCGGCCCGTCCGCCGTCCGGTTCCGGGTGATTTACGTCCTATCCTCGGCGAAGGGCGACGTTGAGGGCTCGTCCGCGGAGCCAGAGGGTATGGAGACGGTGCGCGCGCTGCGCGAGAAGGGTGTCCCGGTGGCCACGATTCCAGAGTCCGCCGTCGCCTACTCGCTTGGCAAGGCCGATATGGTGATCGTCGGTGCGGAGGGTGTTGTAGAGAACGGCGGAATTGTCTCGCGAATGGGTACTTACCAGATTGGTCTGCTGGCCAAGGCCATGGGAAAGCCTTTCTACGTTGTTGCGGAGAGCCACAAGTTCGTCCGTCTTTATCCGCTTGGACAGTACGACCTGCCCATCGAGCAGCGCGTCATCGATTTCAAGACCGAGGAAGACGTTGCCGACGAAGCCAAGCAGCAGGAGCAACAAACGCAGCCCCGCACCCCGGATGTCAAATCGCCAGATAGCCATGATTCGGTCGACTACACGCCGCCCCATCTGATATCTGCGCTGATCACGGACAGCGGCGTCTTGACGCCAAGTGCCGTCAGTGAGGAGTTGATTAAGATCTGGTTCTAGTTTATGCTTCTCCGTACTCGTATCCCAACCGAGAGAAGAGGCAGGTCGCAGCTTGCGGTATTAGTTGAATGAAGCGGATTTTGGCGTTCAGAGGTCATGATATATCCCAACGCTCAAGGCGTTTGTCGGCTTGGAAAGACGGTGTCTCGTTGTTTTAACTCAGAGAAAAAAAAGTGCAATAGACTTGTGACTATAATTGATGGCTTTGGCGATTGGTTCTGCTGCGACTTAATACATAGAAGCGCGGCTATAGTGTGTCACTCATGGTTGCTCGAATACTCCGTCCTCCTGTGTATCCTGCTCTATACCCTAATCAGATTGTTGATGTGACAACCGATATACGATATAGCTGATTATTGAAGTTCTCATTGTGGCAACTGGCAATAACCACATCCCAGTCTACCTGCAGTAGTCATCACTCAGTACCAACTACCACCACTCCTACCAGCACCCTCTAAGTACTACTCCCAGTAGCTTGCCATGCCCCTCCTGTATCATTGCAGTATGTCTCGTCTCTACTCCGCGCTTAATCATAATCAAAATTAGCTATTGGAGAATGCTAAAGCTGGTTTGTGTTCTAGAAATAAAGTATCAGTCACCCACCGAGGCCAACTCCTATAGCCTATGATTCAGGCAATTCTTACTGCTCAAGGTATATTATATTCTCGAAAGCTTCTGCTTCTCAGTCGATGGGCGTCGATAACCATTCTTGACAACTGATCAGAACTATCGTGATCAACTACTGAGATCAACTACTAAGGCTTATGGCTTATTCTTCGGATACCCTCTTTAATCAACTAATTCAAGACTTTAACCGGGCCGCGACATAGAAGAGGACCCGGCGACGCGGAATTCAAATCCTTGTCTGGGCAAGTCTTACAAAAGCCACATAGAACCAAATTTGAGTGTCTGATCGATGTGGAATCCCTTCTATCTCTTACATAATGATTGGATGTCTACTGAAGAAGTCATTCACTGACCTTCAAAGTGAGTCAAATTGACTGTTACGCCTTGGGCTTATCGGCTATATTAGGTTGATACATTAATAGCCTGTAAGCAATTCTGATATGCGAGCCTGATGCAATCATCCGAGCGTGGTTAAAGTACCTCCTGCACGTCTGCAATCTCATTGTTCTGCTTGGGAGACTCTCCCTCATCTGCGCCAAATTCATCCTCTGCCGCACTGCCGTTCACTGGCCGTGGCTTCTTCCATCCCAGCATAAGGTCATTTGGAAGAACCGTGTAGTCGGAGGTGTACACGCAGAAAGTCTCCTCAAAGTAGTGCAGTCCACAATCCATCACCCATACCGGTGTAAGCACCTTCATGCCCACGTAACAGAGCTGCATCAGCGGTTGTTCCAGAAAGAAATTGAAGAAGTAGACTGGCGGGACTTGCTCCCGTTCTTCCGGTGTCATGTCGCAGGAAGCCCTGGCTGGGTCCATGAAGGATTTTGCGACGATTCGTCCAACAGGAACGAGGTCGGGGGCAAATTTCTCATAGAAGTCGGTGATGGTATCTTTGGGTGGATCAATAGCAATGATCTCGAACCCGTCGATGTCGCTGATGCGGATGGCATGTAGGTCATTTATATTACCTTGTTCTCGGAAACCTCGCGCTATGTGATCTGTTCCTGCACCAGCGAGAGCGAATTTGACAACCTTGTGCGCCACATCTTTGGTCATGAGAGCCTCATCCGTCGACGAGCTTTCTTCTTCTTTCTGTTCCCTGTAACAATCACGGCGCTCGCCACCGAAGAGTGTGGAGCAGGCTTTGTTGAAATGGCCGGGCCCTTTGACCATAAATTGTTGGTTCAACCAAAGCTCCTCGGTGGCAGTGTCGCACGAATCAATGGCCTCGCGGATATTGATAGTGTATTCTGGACAGACATTATGGTATATCAAGTAGCATAGGAAGTTTCGAATGGTAACAGTGCCTAGTTTGATCATGTCTTCAGTTTCAGGATTGAAGTAGAATGGGAAGTATGAAGTCCTACTGGGTCAGCCGAGATAGGAACTATTTAGGGTCAGGTCAAAACTTACAGAAAGCCCCGCACCACCGCATCGAAGTCAATAGGAAGCTTTGCAGAATCTGTCGCGATGCTTGTCTGAGTTTTAGCCTGAAGTATCTGCTCGCTGTCGAGCTCTTGAAGATCTTTCTGATCGGTTCCTTCAAACATCTTCGGGGAGACATCCACCCCGCCGTAAGCCAAGTATTTCAAGAATATAGCCCTTCGGTTGTTTTCGAGGCGACGGTTCTTCTGGTAGCGTTGCAGAGCATCCTCAATTCGACTGTCTGTCATCAGTATCACAACGCATTCGTCGCTCGCCAGGATGCAAGACTCACTGGATGATGGGTCGAGACCTATGCAGCAGTTGTTAGCCAAAATGTGCATAGTGGAGGGATGGTCACATACTGGCTGTAAATCTCCTCCTCAGCCTCGTGTTCAGTGGGTGTCATGGGAGCGTCAACATAGTATTCTTCAAAGCCGGTGGGTTTGCCCTGTCACAGTCAACTCGGTTCTGGACATGTTTCCTGAAAAACATACCAGGCCACGCTTGCTCTTGGGCCTCTTGCTTTTCTTCCTCTTTTTCTTGGGTACGATGCTGTCAGCGCGCGCAGGGGCCTCTTGCTCTCCGATCATCTCACTCTGTGTCTGTGCTGTAGCCTGATCATTTGATTTGAGGGTCAAGGTATTATCCATGGCTCTAGCCAGCTGCACCTCAACATAACCTGGTTGCTTCCCTTGATCCGAAACAGGAAGCTGCGTGGTCGGGACAGTCTCTTTGTTGTCTTCCATCTTTGTGACTATGTGCATGTAGGATGCTGTGACAAGAGATGGATGGCGGAGAAGGGATTGAGAAGAGATGCAGAGTCAGCGCTGAAAAGGAAGAAAGACGATGAAAGTGAGTAAAGAGACTGAAGAAAGGTGAGGTCAGTGGAAGGGGCGGGGTGTTGTTTGTCGCCATATTGTAAAGAGTGAAGTGAGCGGTTTCCTAAGGATGCTCTTCAGTGAATTACTTCTCCATGCAGGTTGCCTTCAACTGTTTGTCGGTAGAGCTGGGATTTGTGACATTCCTTTTCTAGATAATTAGATAGTAAATACACCAGCCGAGGTAGATCTGCCCCCAAGAATTACTGCATTTTGAGCTTTTGCGAAGATGATGATACTAGTTATGTCAGTTAATGTACGTCAAAAGCATACCCTCTATGGGATTCCCCCAAGATCAGCAGCAAAACAAGGCTATTTCAGATATCACAGCAATGACATAGTTAACACCATGTGATGATAGACAAAAAGCACAGGCCACATGCAGCGAGTTCAAATGAACTTGAAATGACACAGCATGCTGCTCTGTATGTTTATCAAAATCCCGTGGCACCAGGAGACCATTGACGAGTAACTACGGAGTATAGTATAAGTTAGAAAGAGGCAAAGGAGGGCGATCCCAGCAGGTCGATCGCGCAATACGATTTAACTCATTCTTGCCTTATGCCACCAGATCCAGTCAGCATAAGAGCCGATCTTATGACAGAGCTTTCGTATCAGGCTGACTTGCAGCCGGCGCAGCTCACGGAGTACAGAGTAAAACCATGTAATCCTTGATTGTTGCGCCCCTCCAGCCTTGTTTGTGGATTGCGCCAAATCGGCTTCCCCGACATTTTTTCCTCTCCCTCAATTTCCTTCCTACAGTAACTTGCCAACCCGCCTTTTGTGGCTTGTCTCTCCTTTCCCATTCCCCTTGAACCCCTGTCGCGCATTTGTTTGCTTCTACAGGAATAAATTATTTTTCCCTTCCTTGTTTCACCGTCGAGGAAATTCCTCTCCTATTCATCCTCTCGAACCCGAGCGACCCTGCAACTTCCCGCCTACTGAACCCTCCGTGCCTTTCCGTGACTCATGCGGAATGCTGTCTAAACTCCAGCAGTCTCTGTTGGATAGTGATTGATCGTTTACTGTGCTCTAAAACCTCTTCACCATGCAATCCTCTTCGCGATCAGACAGCAGCGCGATGACCGCAAAGCTTGACCACGATAGTTTCGTCGCGTTCGACCATGCCGCCGCCGGACAGTAAGTTCCGCATAACCCCCATTGCATCCTCTGCTTGTCGCAACCAGCATGACATGGCATTGCTCGACTCTATAGCCTCGACGCAGGTTGCATGTTGGTTTGCTACTTGACGCTGAAGCCTCATTCAAAATACTGACATGAACCTTGCTGTAGTGACGGCGTCCAGTGCACCGTATCCGGCACCTTCATCGCAAAGCCTTGCACCGCGCAAGAAGTTGCGTTCTACGAGTCCAGCGCTCTCCACCCGGCATTCCAAGAATTTCTGCCCACGTACATCGGCACGTTAACCTCCGCGAATGAACAGCAGCCTCTGGCACTGGCCGCGGCCCAGCAAGCCGGCGCCATCATGCTCCCCACCTCGGAATATTCCTCCGCGTCTGACACTCCTACGACGACGCTTCCAGCCCAAGCTGTCACCACTAGCACAGCGACGGCGACGGCGACAGCGTCCGAAGGGGCCAGCTCTAGCAGCGCAGCGGCTGCGGAGTCGTCATGGGTCCCCTCCAACGGAAAGAAGCTCGAGACCGGGATCTCGATCGTGCTGGAGAATGTGGCTGCGGGCTTCAAGCGGCCCAATGTGCTGGATGTGAAGCTGGGCGCTAGGCTCTGGGCGGACGATGCGCCACCCTCGAAACGCGCAAAGCTGGACCTCGTGTCCAAGGAAACGACAAGCTCGACGCTGGGGTTCCGGATTGCTGGAATGAAAGTTTGGACCGGGGTGAGCGGGGAGACCGACGAGGGCAGTCGGACTGACCCTTACGCGACGAAATACGAGGGCGCCGAAGGTGCTAAGGGGCAGGTTGTCGAGGCAGATGGCTACAGGCGGTACGATAAGTGGTATGGCCGGTCGCTCACGGAGGGCAACATCAAGGAAGGATTCCGGACGTTTCTCGCTGGTGCCAAAGCCGGGGCTGTAGATCGGTCCCAGTTGGTCGCGGGACGACTTGCCGAGGAATTGAAGCAGGTGCAGGAAGTTCTGGAGTCTGAAGAAAGCCGAATGTACTCTTCAAGTGTACTAATCGTCTATGAAGGCGACCCAGAAGCCATGGAAAAGGCGCTGGAGGAAGAGCAGAAGCCTCGACCGGAGCGCGAGGAAGCAGAGGACGAGGACGAGGACGAGAATGAGGACGTCGAATTTGAGATCCAAGATGGGTCTTTCCAAGTGGTCGACATACCCCTTGGCCAGGGCAGCGTGCCGCACCAGGCTATCAACATCAACCTAGGCCCCGAGGTCGCAGAGCTGGGGGAGCTAGATCTCGACGAGGACGAGGAGGATCCCCCAAAAGTGCATGACCTCCGACTGATTGACTTTGCGCATGCAAGCTGGACCCCGGGCCAGGGCCCGGACGAGAACGTCCTAACGGGGATACGGAATCTGACTCGGATCCTGGAGGAGCTTGCCTTGGAGTAAATGTTCAGTGAAAACCATCATAGTCGCTGGCGGCTTAAGATGGAAGCAATAGTTAGTAGCATTGCGCCCGGTGTTCGCATAGGCTACAGCACACGAGGATTTAGCAAAACCAAAATGAAACCAGATCAGAATCACACAAGAGATACACCCAATACATTGGGCCTTTTACGTAGAATATGCCCATAACTAAACATTGTGAATCGTTGAACTCATGAGTAGATAAATGTCCCTGCTGCAGCCGGAAAAAAATCATCTTACATAATCACCTCCGCCGAAACCTCCGCCGGCGCGCGGATTTGCAACTATCCAAAGCAGCGGCGCCCAGTCTTGCAGTTTTTGGTCTACCACGCAAGTCTCGAGAAACTGAACACAATCAACATGTTTCCCACACGAGCCCTCCTCGGCCGCTCCGTCTGGAAAGGTAGGCCTCTCCCATTTCCCCCCCTCAGCAATGAACCTCAATCCGTCCGCAGCACCAGCACATCCACTAACAAGAAAACCATTGAAACAGGCCCGAACATCGTCCCGTACGTCTAACCCTCCCACTCCAGAGGCGATAACCTCCCCGGATACATCATCGCAGATCCTGGAGCCCTCGCTCCACTTGCCTGAAAATCCCCTCCATGGAAGCAAAGCAAACAGACCATAAACTAATCATCCAACCCCCCGGGCAACGTCACCAACAGTCTCCCTCTCCCTCCCAAAGTCCTACCCAACTTGCCCCCGATCCGCACGACGAAGCGCAGCGCAACCATCCTGCCGAATTTCGTGGGGCTGAAGTTCTCGATCCACAATGGCAAGACCTACCAAGATGTGCTGATTACGGAGGAGATGGTGGGGCGGAAGTTGGGGGAGTTTGTGCTGTACGTTCTCTTTCCCAATCTTTTTTCATTTTCGCTGGGTGTTGGATGTGGATGAGAGAGTACACCTGTAATATGCTGACTTTACCTCTTCGGGGGGTTTGGGGTTAGGACTCGCAAGCGGTTCTCGTATAAGTTGTCAAAGAACAAGTAGATCTTCATGTTTTCTTCTGCTTGTCGTGGTGGTGGGCTGCTGGGGAATGTCGATCGATACCTTTGTTCGTTATTTCTGGGCTGTTTTTTTGAGCCCATTGTGCTTTGGGGGCTTTGAGGGGTGAAGGAGGAGCTTAGCTTGAGATGCTTATGCTGGGGGAGCAATCTGTAACCACTCCTGTTGCAACGTGCAGGGTCCTTTATGTTTGGCGTTTTATTCTTGCGGAAATTTCGCGCGGCTCTGTCTCTGGGACATTCACTCCCCAGGGAAGAGGCCGGGTCTGTATATTATGCTTACCTTATCTTATATCGTTCAATCTTTACCCTGAGGATACATCTCAGAGAGTGTGTGCCTACTTCCGAGGAGAATCTGGATCGTAGGATCATCCTTCATGTGCGTGAGTAGTAACATAACTTCAGAAACGCCCATACTCCCGATTAGTGTGTACAAACACAAGCCCCCCCAACATGCAGGATATCTATCGTTCAGAAACCCCGTCCCCATGCCCCAAATATGCGCCATCGAACAAACAACCAAAAGTCCACTGATCCAGGGACTTCAGCACGACAAAACAGTAGACCCAATCCCGTCAGCCCGAAGTCTGCCCTGTCCCCTTATGATATGGAGGGGGACACCAGCAAACCGCACCAACAAAGTCACTTTTATCGAAAGGGAAAAAAATCATCACCACCCCTCGAGAGACAATTATTACCGATAAAACTCCCCCCGCTTGACACTCACCCCATACTCCGCCACCGCCATCCCCAAATCCTCCATCGTCAGCACCGTCCGCCCCTGGCCTGACCCGCCCGACCCCCCACCTCCAAAACCAGGCCGCTGAATGCCCAGATGTGTGCCCGCCTTCCCCTTGCCGGCGTCGCCGCCTGACACGCCGGCCGCCGCGCCCGCGGACCCAACTCCACCGGCGCCGCCGGGCATGCCCAGCCCCGAGGCGGCGTTCAAACTGCCCATCGGGTTGTTGGCGGAGGAGCTGTTGGAGGCGCGGATGCGCGCGTATTGGTAGGAGTCGGCCGCGATGTCGGCGATGAACTTCTGCGTGGCGAGGGCGAGAAGGCGCGCGAGGTGCGGCGGGGTTTGGTTGGGGCCGTTGCCGGGGGGTGGGAGGCCGGCGAGGGTGAGGTAGTGGGCTGTTACCGCATCGGGGATCTTCATTTCGGACAGTGGGTGGTCAGTTATGGCTGTGTTGTGTTGTGTTGGTTGGGTGGCATTTGTTGAAGGACGAGGGGAAGGGGAGGTGGAGGCTTTGACGCAGAGAGATGCAAGATTGTAGACTACACTTACAATAGGTGCATATTCATCCATCTTCCCAAGAAACTCCCGGAGACTAGTCTCCTTCTTCGACGGCGCCGCGGCGGCGGCGAGTGCGTCCACGGAGGTCGGCGCCGGCACCGGATTGCCCACCTCGTCGGCGGCGGCGCTGCTGGCCCCCGCATTGACGGTGGTGTTCGTGCTGGGCGCGGTCGTCATGTCGATGTCCTCTGGCTCATCCAAGCCGGTGCTGGTGGTGGTGCTGTCTGCGACGTCGGGTTCTTGTTTAGGCACGACGGTGCCGGGTGATGGGACAGGGGGTTGGCTGGATGGAGGAGGGACGGGGGTTGAGGAAGCTGCTGCTCTAGAAGGAGGAGGAGGAGGAGGAGGTTGCGATGAAGGCGGAACAGCAGGCTGTGATGACGATGATTCGGCCATGGTTTGTGGCTGACGACGAGCGCAAGGGATTGCTGGGTTGCAAAGAAACAGTCCAATGGTTGAGAGGGGACAGCGTCAGCGGTGAATGCAGGGTCGGCAGTGCTGGAGCGTTGTATGTGAATTCCAAGTATATAATCCCTGCAATTGGATTATTGCGACGTCCGGTTTGGAATGGAGGTATAATCGGGGGTTTTCCTCAGGGGTTTCAATGGGAAGTGAATTGAATAGAATAGAATTGTCGAGTGCCGCGGTGGATGGAGCGGAGAGCACCAGCTGCTTCTCTTGGCCGCGTTCGGCCCGGTTGCTGGACGACTAATTGCTGGTGGAAACTGGCAAGCCTTCCTGGCGCTACACACAGAGTCTGGGCACATACACATCTTGATTGCTGATTGTTGCAGTGTCTGGGAATTTTACCGAGCTAGAAAAGAAAGAAACGAAAGTTATGATTATGCAGTTATCGTTGTACATACACTCCGCGATACTCCTACAGCTTCGTGCACCGTTTGCAACCCATGCATCAACCCTCATACATTCCCGCCCAGTGGATCACAGATAGATAGTCGTAGTTAGTGGAACCGCTCAAAGCACCGACGAAAAGCAAGAACAAGCTCGATAATAAAACATGATACATTTGTGGGAGAGATCAAGGTGAAAAAGCGAAATCTGACTGGCGCGTCATGTCAACGTCAACCGCATCATTGTCCTAAATGCATATTCGGATCTACATGGTCCTGATGATGCGGGTGCGGGTGATGCTGTTGATGCTGAACATGATGGTGGTGAGGTTGCCCAAAAGACTCTCCATGCACCTCTTGGCCGAGAGTCTGCATCAGGTTCTGCTCCGCAGTTTGGTCGAAAGCTGAATGAGCATTAGGGTCATGCGGCAGTCCAGGGGATGCAGACATCGCATCGTGGCCATGACCCATGCCAACCGGCTGAGCATGGGCGCCAGCCAGAGCCATCATGCCCTTGATGCCCTCCACATGAGCCTTGTCTTCCTCGCCTTGCTTCTTCTGCCGCTCACGGGCTTCCCGCTTAGCAGCCTGAGCAGGTGCGCGAGTCTTCAGCTCACCAGTGACAAACTTCAAGTAGTAGGGTACCTCGATGCCACTTTTCAGGAAGAAAAGCTTCAAATTACGCGCCTTGTCCTTGAGCTGCACCTGATTGCGGTCCTTCAGAGCTTCACTTATGGTCCCCCCAGGGCCAAACATAGCGAGTATCTGACTCCAGTGTGGTCCCTTGACGCGATCCAAGCCCGCCATCAATGCATTTTCCTCCTCGGTGGTCCAGGGACGTCGCTGACTGGGCAAGCCCGATTTGCGGCTGCTCGGAGATGACTTGGCAGAAGCCGCCATGCGAGCCCGCTCGTAGAGAACCTGAGTAGGCTGGGACTGAGAATAATGTGGTATGCCTGGCATGTAACCGTGATTGGCCGCGGCCGAATTAGGTCGCGGAATCGACGCTGGGGTCACATGACTGTATTGTTGGAAATTGGCTTGAAGGGGGCTTGGCTGAAATGTGAGCTGGCTGGGCGGATGCTGGTAGCCAGAAGGCGCTGGGCTGTGATGATAAGGCTGCTGGTGAGTCTGCTGGTGAGGCATCTGACCCGTCGGCTGAGCAGCAGAGTAGCCATGCAAGATCTGACCGCCCTGGGGCTGTGCTTGCTGAGGAGGCGGCTGTTGCTGCATCTGGGGCTGGTGGATTGTATGCGACTGGTGGTGTTGTTGCGGCTGGGGTTGCTGCGGCTGATGTACCTGTTGGGGCTGTTGTTGATTCTGCTGAGATTGTTGTTGCTGGTATTGCTGTTGCTGTTGTGATCGTCTAAGCCCATGGCCTTGCAGAGCAATCTGCGCCGCACGCGCCGCACGAGCAACGAGATCTCCATGCATGTTCCGGTCGACTGGAACATCCGGTGGCTGCGTCGAAACAGGGAATTGGCCTTGGAGGGGTGCGCTGGGAGGCTCTTGAGAATCTCCATTCGACGAGGATGGCTGGCGACCCTTCGTGATCTTTTTCGTCTGGCTCACCGTTAGCACAGTTCAATTGGATAATACAAGAAGGAGAGTCAGACCTGTTGGTTGCTGATGGTATCAAAGTTTTTGGTAACGTAAGAGCTCAAATCTCGGAGGAAGTCCTCCCAATGGTATTTGTCTGGCAGAGCCTTCATAGCCTCCTCGTTGTTGACGTCGCTGAGTAAGATGTCACGGCGCGATCCGGCGCGCTTGACAAAGTCCGCCTCGCTGGGAGCTAGTTGACGAGTACCTGGGCGACGGTCCAGCAGCTGTTGCTCCAGGTCATCAGGGAAAAGGTCGTACAGCAACTCTGTTCGGGTGCGCTCGGAATTGTTCATGGAGGCAATAAACGCCTGTGTCTTGAGTTCCAGAAACAAAGCGCCTTGCACCTTGAGAAGGCGACCACCTTCGGGAACAAACACATCGAGAAAATTGTCATTCAGTTCAGAAAATCCAATCTCCTGAGTGCCGAAGATGCTGGAGACGAAGGACGCGAGGTTCGCCTTCCGGATGATGTCAATCTGCGAAGGCTCGGTGAGCTCCAGTTCGGTAGGAGATAGGAACGACTTCTTGGTTGAGTAGACTTTCTTCGTGTGGTCGAACAAAGAGCGCATGGTGGCATAGGCTTGGCCGCTCTCGGTCTCTGGCTCGGAGACGAACGAGGTAATTTCTTGGTACGACGACTTGGCAAGCAACGAGAGAATCTGGGTAGACTAAGTAGATTCGACGTATTAGCATCATTACTGAGCGTGTCTCATGCCGCGTTTACCTACCAGATTGTCCAGAATAGGCAAACTCTGGGTCTTCAAGTGTGAATTGGCCTTGACAAACACCATGCCTTTCGGAGCCGGGCTCGCAGTATCCGCCAGCTGTTGCTGACCGATCACAACTTGTTCCTCCACACGTTCGGCGTGGTTCATGATACTTGAAATAACGGTGGCCATGTCTGAATCGATGTCGGCAGTTGTCTCGGGCGCAACTGCAGTTTCCGCTGCCGTGCCATCAAGTTGAGTTGGTGTGCCTTCCAGAGGTTCCACCGTGTCCACGATACTGGGCCCCAACGCAGAGGCCAGTTCTTGTTCAATCTGATTTCCGGGGACTTGGTCTGCTACTGTTATTTCACCGGGGTGCGGCGGCAAGGTGAGCTCGGACGGTTCGGACTCGAGACGGCGTTTTTTGGCAGCCCGGGGAGAGACGGAGCCGTCCTCTTCTTCGAGAGGATGCGACATCTTCGGAGGCACTTTAATTTCCAAAAGTTAGCATCATAGACACGCGAGCATTGACAATGTAAAGCTTTAGAGAACGGCTGAGGCCATGCAAGGATTGTCGCGGGGGGAGGTTGGGGTATATGAGGACGCAGAGAACGGAGGAACCTCCTCCTTGCCAGGTCGCCCCAACACAACTCACCATCATGACTGTCAGTCTCGGTCGGAAGCGCAGGGAGTTCAGAGGAGATTGACTCCTCAACTTTCGGGCCTGTCACAGTAATGTCGGCCATGATAGGGACGATTCCCAATGGGAGGGAGATGCCTGTCCTTTCCAAGAGCAGAAATGAGGGCTTAGGGGTAGGGCGCAAGCGTAGGGCTTTAGGAAGTGGTTAGTTTAGGGGGAAAAGACGGGCGGAGAGAGAAACTGCAGGCAGTCATCAGATTTTTCTGCTCTTCGGCCGGAATTCGGGTCTACCCTCTGTTTGGGTCACCAAACAAGAAACAACACTATCCTCATATTATTATGCTGTGTTGGAAGTGAGGCTCATTCACTGCGTGTGTCTGAGCTTTTATTCGATCTGTGTTAATATTTTCCCATTATTACTTTTCAGATTGCTTCGTATCATTTAGGCTAATCCTGAAGCCTTCAGTCTCGACTCATAGATCAAGCAGTCACCAATCCGCTTCGAGACTTGGCGGTCCCGTTTCCTGCCTGGCTGCCTGGCTGCCTGGATACCTGGATACCTGGACATGAACTTGACTGTCGACTCCCATACAACTAGTTTCGATGGTAAAATCAGATTATACTCCCATTCTCCCCTCTCCCCCCCTCTCTCTTCTCTTTCCGAGTATCATGCCTACCATATTGTGCTCTGCCTCTGCTACGGCGGGGTGGGCGACATCCATGGTTGCGTCCGCCTGAATACTACCTTCCGTCTAGGCGTCATCGACTCGTCGACTCGCTCACTTCGTTTGCTGGAAAGAGATGGTTATGTCCAGTCCAATTGGACATCTTTTCACAGTGAGAGATAATTTCAAGATGTCATGGTATCATTCGTACTTATAAACTACTAGTCGTGTCACAATAGATTTGACGGTGTGTATCGCGTGTTTCATAAGTTCACAAGAGAGAGCAATACATATGCAGACAGCAGGTAGTCAATCCTTGTAGGAGGTATTGCCAAAGCTGAATGCGACACTTCTAGAGCTGAGACCCAATGGCTAGACCTGCAATGGTCGACAGGCTTCTGAACAAGTCTAGAACAAGGTAGGGACAGGAGGACTTTATTGCATCAACGTCGGAACCATGGAAACGAGTCCTGAAGGTCAAGCCAGGATTCACGTTAAGGAGATGTGAAGGCTTAGTAGGCACTGGAGGGTACAGTCCCATCAAGACCACCAATGTGCAGACGACTAGCATATAGGTTGGCGTCCTCCCAGGCCTAAGGTAGCTCTTTTTTACCGTCTCTGTCACTCGAAGTGTTGGGGCGGCATAAGTCCCTTGAACGGTATACTGGACTATACACTCATTGACGTCTCTCAATTTTAAATATGCGGTCTACACGTGACGTCCTCCTAGCTCTTGCCGCTGCAGTGCTGCAGACAACTGCCCCAGTCTCTGCAGAAAGCCTAAAAGAACAGGTTTGGGCCGTCTTTGCCTATACATTGCACGGAGACAGCGTACCAGCAGCGCTTCCCCGTGAGAGTGTTGTGACCCCCTACGGCGCCAGTGAGCTGTATGCTGCTGGATCCGCCTTCCGTGATCGATATGTTGCGATACATTCGACGGATGTCAGTCCCAGTACAAGAATTGAACGAATCTCCTCCTATGTGCTTGCAGACGAGGACATCAAGGTCTTGACTACCACGGATGCCTCCGTGATTGGCTCTGCTCAAGCCTTCATGCAAGGACTCTATCCCGCTTTGAATGAGACATATGATGCTCAGTTCTTTGATCCCATTTTCCTCATGTCGAATGGCTCCGTCACTACTGGTCCCTTGGGGGGATACCAATACGCTCGCATTGTTAGCGCGAGCCTCGATGATCCCCAATCGGTAACGGTGGCAGGACATCAGAATTGCAAGCTGCATCAGACGGCCGACTCGGAGTATAGGAATAGCTTGGAGGCCCAAGACTTGGTTCAGACCTCGGGGGCCTTCTACAACCGTCTGTATGAGTTCTCCCTGAGAGACACATTCGATCGCTCCTCGGCCAATTACCTCAACGCGGTTTCAATCGCCGAATTCTTGCAATATGAGTACCTGCACAATGAAACGCTCCTGCACAGCCTGAATGAAGATGACATCAAGCTCGCCAATTGGTACGCAGACCAATACACCTTTGCTACAAGTGGCAACACCACGTTCTCCAGCCCCGTTCAGAGCGGCAATGTTCGTGCCGTTGCTGGCCGGACCATGGCCTCCCGTATTCTAGACGCCTTTAATACCAACATCTTCAATAGGGGAGATAGCAGCAAACTGACCTTCCTGTTCGGCAATGCTGAGCCGGCCGTGGCTCTCACGTCCATTCTAAGATTGCCATCCCCACAGCAGTCGAATTTCTACTCGCGGCCCGCGCTTGGCGCATCAATCATCTTCGAGCTCTTCAGTCTCGAAAATGACTCGTATCCCACCTATCCCGACCCGTCCCAGCTATACGTGAGGCTTCTGTTGCGGAATGGGACCGACGTCGACGCCGAGTTTCACCCCTACCCTCTATTTGGACTCAGCCCTAGCAACACGGATGTGTCGTACTCGGAATTTGAGGCGGAGTTGACCAAGGTCGCCCTAAACTCCACTGAAGCATGGTGTCTTCAATGTGGCTCCAGTTCGGCGGTGTTCTGTCCTGGAATCCTCGAGGCCGACACTTCGACTACATCTCAGAAAAATAGCAACAACAGCAACAACATAACACCCGGCGTAGCAGGGGTCATTGGCGCTATCGTCACCCTTGTTGTGATTGGTATGGTTGCGGCAGCTGGATTCTTGTTCTTTGGCATTCGAATGAGACGACAGTACAAGTCGAACCTCACAGATACCAAGGGAGGAATCAAGTTGGCTAGTGACTCAAACCTAGCTCTGCGAGAGAACATGTAAGTGCGGTGCCTTGGTTGGGGTGGGTTGGTTTACTACTTATTACTAAGTAATCAATACTTGCTTTTATTCCCGGGTCAGGCTTTATTGGTTGAGCAAGAAGTTTTGATTTCTAGATAAACAAGAACCTATAATACTACTGATCGAATGAATGGATTTCTCATAACTCATCGAAGACGAATAGGCCAACACGTAGGTCATCAGCTTCTACACTATATGTATCTAGAAATAGGATACTTATTCCTTGCAAGAGTTGTGAGAGCCAATTTTCAGATGTCGAGAAATATGAATCAGCGTGGAATTTCCAAGTGAGTAAAACAACAATTTAATTGTACTGATCTCAAGGACAACTGAAGTAAGAGGGCGTCTAGATCGCGTCACTTGCGCGAGGGAACGACCTTATGGTTTCAGACCTGTCAGTGACTCTTCACTCTCCTACGTAGGTATCAGCGACAACAACTCTCCGGTGACTGACATCCTCCTGATATCGGTTCTATTCATTGACTACTCCCGATTGCTGGAGGGACGAACGCACTTTCCATTTCATTTTACAAGAGAGGACCTCCGGCAGGTGCGTACCACGAGGAACCCGCTCACGGCCGCGCAACAGCAACCTCGACCTCAACACAACATCAATACGTCCACGAGTCTTGCCTCATATCCTGGCTCAATCTCATATCTTCCCCATATCAGACGTGTTACAGATACTTCATTGTTGGTACCCAATTTCCGCTGCTTTCCTTGACTACTTATCCCTCCTCCCCAAGACTCTGTTATCCCCAGCAGCCATGGCTAGATATGATATCTCTGCTCTCATGAGCATGCGCTCCAATGCACGGATTGATGTCAACAGATTCAGTGAAGTTGGCAGTATGTCTTTCCTGGGTGCTAGAGCAACAGAGATACCTCCGGAACTAAGTCCTCCCATGATTCGTACTGACCCTTCTCAATTCCATATAGGCAAGTTGCTCCGTCAGCACAGTACGAGCGTTTTGTCCGAACAGCCCATCAACCGGTCTAGGAACGTGTCGAGTTTCTCGCGTCAGAGTGAGAGAACCAACGCTCCCCCAGAGCCTTCTTTACGATCTGCTGCGCGTCAGCCAAGTGATCCGCCCGGCGGTCATCGTGCACAGAAGGACTCTGGCTTTGCACGATTTCTCAAAGAACATACGTCTCCCAAGCATCAACGCGTCACTGCTGGCGGTCGGATTGTTCCTATGGAGGCACCTCCGAAGATGAAACTGCCCAGCTTTGACCAGCAGCAAAACGTCGGCGATGGCACGAGAGGCTTTGCTGCGTCAATTGCTGAGAACCAAAACAATGCCGAGCATGGAACAGTGCCACCCAAGGACACATCTTTTGGTTCCGAAGCTTTCAAGCAGGATTCTCAGTCTGCTGGTTTGCCGGTGAGTTACGCGTTTCCACCATATGGGAGCTTTGATCCGTACTTGCAAAACCTGGGACAGACACCCAATCTTCTATCGGCCGCAGGGTACGCGGGACTGTGCTCCTCGCTTGGTGTACCATGGCCACATGATAATCAGCAGCTTGATTCTGAGCTACAGCCGCCGGAGTATCATATCCCTGCTGCGCCGGAGTATCCGATGCTCAACTATGCAAATCCATGTGTCTGGCACCCAAGTCTCTACGATGCCCTGGACACATCAAGCTCGCTACCTACCTTTTTGCCTCCCCCCCAGCCACATCCGGCCATCTCAACGCCATCGGGCTTTTCAACGGGCAGCATCGCTAGCAGTGGAGGCGCTACGCCTCTGTTGAGTCCGTTCTACCCAGGATACGGCATGTCCTTGACACCGTCGGGACTTCAGTGGCATCAGCTCATCCACGGACAAGCACCGATGCAAGCCCCGCAAGTTGTACCTGCAGTGATCCAGACTCCATTGTACCAGAAGTCCCTCGATGATGCCACCAAGGAGCACGACAATCTATCAGCTCAGCTGTCGCGCCTGGACAGATATATGGCAATGCATACCTGGGACTTAGACCCCCAGACCAAGAAGCTGTTGGTCGAACAACGTGTCGGCTTGGTAAAGGAATTAGACACAGTCCGGATCTACCGAGAACACCTTGAATGGGCGTCTGCGAAGATCAGGATGAACGCGCTGAGCAGCCATGCTGGCATGTCAGATTCCACATCTTCTACTGGATTGTACCTTACCGGCAATATTGCGAACAATCAAGCATTGTTTGGACAGGCTTTGTGCACTTCCAATTCCGATAGCGCAGCCCCAACGTTTGTCACACCAGCATTAGCAGCGGCCTTCCCACCACGACTGTCCAGTAACGAAACAGGGAGCTCAACACCGATGCCATCAATGCCATGGCACAGTTCGACAGATTATCCCGGCAGTTTCCACAGCTTAATGTTGCAAGAGGCAAATGCGAGCTGTAAACCCCCCACACAGTCACAGAGACTAAAACCGAAGCGCCCGATCGCTATCAAGGTACCGCCCATAAATCCCAAAAATGAGATCACGTCCGACAAAGAGACCCGAGGAGCGAAACCCAATGAGACAGAATGGAGACCTTGTACCAAGGAGCTTTCTTCGGAGGTATATCAGGTATATTGCCATCTTGAGAAGATTGCTCGGCAAGGTGCTTCCATTGACGCCCTGCTTCAGGATTTGGAACTAGCTGCTGAGCAACCGACCAAGCCGATCCCAGATGGATATTATCGACCGACGTTCCCGGCAACTGATGCAACAGCCAAACAAAGACCAACCGCTCAAGCGACTGAGGGTATCGAGGCCGTGAAGTCCAAGTCCGCAGAATATCCAGGGCCAGAATACACGAGGCAGCGTTCCAAGGATCCCCGTAAGTCCCGTCATCGGCCTCGAAGCCACGAAGATGTGAACAAGAGTCCAATCGTTGCGGAGGAAGATGATGCCCACTCTATTCTCTCTTACGTCTCGACCACAGACTCGTGGGCTACTGTGCATGAAAGAAGGTAGGTTTCGGTCTTGCGCTCCCTATGATGAAGCTCGAGGGTCTAAGTCAATGCGTAGCTACAATTCCCACATGAGAGACTTCGGCTGCCAAACGAGCTTACTGAAGCGAGGTCTTGCACATGAGAGGTATGGGTTTACTCTTTGAGTATAGCAGAACACTGATGAGACTAGTGGTAGGAGCGCCAGTCCCGTGAAGCGTCCTGCTACCCCCCTTTTTGAGATTCCCAACTCCGTGACCCAGCTTACTCTTATATCCGGTAATGGTGATATAGGCAGTTCCAGAACAGCGCATCGACGAAGTGGCCCTGCCCTTGCAGACGACCCTGTACAAACTGGACAACGAAGCAATGTGGAAAGTGTGAAGTGTTCCTACTCGCCGCTCCTTGCACCGTGTCTGATCAAGGACCGCGGTCTAGCTGGACCAAAGACGATGGCCTTGGCTGTCCCCCAGAATGTTCATGTGCATGGCATTGTGCCTCATATAGACCGGGTGGGTGAGGGGTCTCGGAAGTGCAGGACAGCCCCAATGGCTGGACATGATTCTGGATCCGAGTGGCAGGCGCGTCAACTGCATGATATCAAGCAGAAAGGCAGTCTGTGGTACAAACCAGACAGAGGGATCGGAACCTAAGGCTTAAGAATGTTGCTCGGTTGGCAACTTAGGCTAGGATCTGATTCATCTTCCCTGGAGGTCGCAGTGATGGTTTGTGTGAAGTCGTTGCTTCTGTTCGAGTCCAGTGAGACATGACGACAGACATAGGCTGGGACCAGATTGGCGGTGAGGGTGAAACTGATGCCCCTGCCCACAACCGGTGTTGGAGAAGGCGTTTGGAGTTTGCTCTTGTATGATTTTACTGATTATCATTGTATGACTGGTATCTGCGGAAGACCTTCCGATTACGCATAGCATGTTTAGCTCGTTCTAGGCTCGTGTGGACGATGCTGTTATTCAGAATCAACCTGTAGGATGACCAAGTTTAGTGCCCATGTGTTCCGTACATGTCCGCAATGGAGCCATTGATATTGGAGCTGGTTCGAAGCGAACCGCGGAATTAAGCGATCCTTGGTCTAACTACTAAGGATATGTGATCTATCAAGATTCAAGGTTTCCTTTGAGGTTTCCGGAAAGTGGACTCCTTTTCTACTCTAAGAGGTATCATTTCTTTTCCCTCACCCACGACAAAGATCGACGAGTGAGAATGGCCAACATTATAACCACGGAGTAGCTGGGGAGCAGTCCGGTCTCCGAATCTGGCTCTGGGGTATGGGCTGGGAGGGCCGACAAATCCCTCCTTGCATTGCGTCGGTGGTGTGCTCTTCCCCTCCCCACACAGCCAAGGTAGATGCTGAATGTCTGATTAATCCTTGGTATGAACGAACCCCGCAACGACAGCCCAAGAACTTAAGTTTCTTTTCGTAAGTGGTCGGGATGTGTGGGAAAAATTCATTGAATGGGATGTGACTACTTGCTTTATACTGTGTATAGATGGGTAATGTACGAGGTTAACTAGTTAGATAGTTAGGTGTAGTAATTAGTCAGACTCGTAGGACTGACTAGTTAGTTAACTATGTACTGAGTAGCTTACGAATAGCTGCAACAGTAGGGTAAGCCTAGATGAGGCGAAGGGAGAGTGAAACAACGCCCCAGACTGGGTTTCAGGGCGGAGAAGGCGTTGAGGGTACGGATTGAGTACTATTGTATGTACGGAGTATGGAGGTATAGGATCTTCAGACTGTGTGCTTTACTTTTTCCATTTTGAGGGAGGGAGGGAGGGGTGGATCATGGATGTGTCTCTCTCTGTCGAAAGGGAGTACTGTACTGTACGGAGTACATTGTATCTCAATCGATACCACAGCATGTTAAGTTATGTCTAGAAATGAAAGAGGGAGACGCGATGGGTGGGCGCAGGTGTGGCCAATGTTGGCGGGTGGAACTGAAGTCAGTGGCAGCGAGGGGAATGAATGTTCCTGGTTGACTGATGCTTCATTGGACTAAGGCAGAAAGAGATAGATACCTGAAAATGAAAAGAGAAGTGGCAAGCATAGCCACTTTGGGGAGTCTTGGACTACTGTAGTTAGTCTAGTCTAGTTACCTGGACTTCGTTTTATCGAACATTGAACTGTGAGAACCTGCGATAGTGGCGGTCCAAAACACTGTACGGTTACGTATCGCCGTCAATCTTTTTCTTCCTTCTCCAGCCGGGGCTGACTTCATTTTAGGTAAATTCACCACCAGTTCTTTCAATTCCCTCCACCTTCTCTGCCTTTCGTCTCCACTTTTAACTACTTTACTACTACTTACGAATACTACGGAGTACACAGTGAGTTAGTAGTTAGTTAGTCTGACCATTATCTATTCCAATTGCATCTCTGACTGTCTGTCATCTCTCCGTTTTCTATCATCCTTGGCTTGCTCGCCTCATTCTGATTCGATTCTATCTCTCTTCTCTCCCTCTCTATCATCTGCCACCCCCTCCTCCTCTCCTCTTCTCATTCGAATTTATCCCTCAGTGATACTCTCTCTCCCCCATCCGGTGTGCACTGTGTTGTGGCTATTCTCACGTCCTCATCGCATTCTCGATCCACGCGGTCGGACTGTTGTCGACCGTGTTGTCGGGTCAAGGCTCCCACTACCCACTTACAGTCTCATTCCCCGTCATTCCCGGGCTGGAACTAGAACTGCGTTCCCAATCCAAGTTTCTGGTGCGAAACGGTTCTTTCTAAGTACCTAGTTCGCACCCACCACTCCCCCAGTGACTAACTAGCACCGCCTTCCATCCCTCCATTCCCTCCCCCCCCCCCCCCCGCGGCTTCTGGCCCGTCGCTGGGTCCTCCTCCTCCTCCCGTCGCAACTCTTACACTCTCCATCTTTTGTTCCTGTCCCTTTCTTGTCCGTTCAAGCCATTACACGCATCCCCCTCCTCTTTATCTGGGCCCTCCGGACCACCTGGACGAGTTCCTGGATCCTCTCCAGACACTAGTCTCGCGCCATGACGCAATTATTTGCTTCCAGTCCGTCCTCGGTGACAAACGAGAAACGCGGCAACTTCCCCAGCCTTTCGCTGGCTTCCAAGAAACATTCAAACGACTCGAGCCACTTTCCCACCAAGATCCGCAACTTCTTTCGCATCAATAGCTCTAGCAGCAATGTCTCGAATTCCAGCCACCACAGTGGCAGCGATCGAAGTCATGAGAACAGCAACCTATCATCGTCACCCGGCAAACATGAATCCAAGTCCACCTTCAGACAATCCCGATTTCTGCCTACTATTGGTCGCAACCGTTCAACCACTGTTGCCAGTGAAGGAAACCCGCTAGACGAAGGTGTGTCACCGACGGCAACGGCGAACCCATATTTTCAACACCAAGGGCAGCCGTCCCTGCAGCATCGTACCGATGGATCCATTCCCTCCCCACCAGATACCCCCGAGCTGCAGGTTGAAGGCGTCTCTGCAGCCGAGCAAGCGACCACCGCTAACAAGGAGGAGTTGGCCCGCAAACTTCGCCGTGTCGCTTCGGCCCCGAATGCACAAGGCCTGTTTCGCAGCCAGGCAGATGACCGGCCACAGACGGCAGAGCAAGACAAGGAACCCTTGCCGACGGGGCCAAGTGGCCATGTTCCTCAAGTGACGACAATCGAAGTCTCCGAGGAGCAGGAAATCAACCTTGCCGTGCCGCCCCTGGGAGCCGACGGCAAGATCCCCACCCCGGGCCAGATTCGAAACTCAGTCGCTTTCCGCCGCACGTACAGCTCCAACTCGATTAAGGTACGGAATGTGGAGGTCGGCCCAGGCAGCTTCGACAAGATTAAGTTGATCGGGAAGGGTGATGTGGGCAAGGTGTATTTGGTTCGAGAGAAGAAGTCTAGCCGGCTTTATGCTATGAAAGGTGCGCCCACTGCAGGAGCGTGAACAGGTACGGAAACTGACTTGACCAGTGCTGAGCAAGAAGGAGATGATCAAGCGGAACAAGATCAAGCGCGCGTTGGCCGAGCAGGAAATCTTGGCTACAAGCAACCACCCATTCATTGTCACGCTGTATCACTCATTTCAGTCCGAGGACTATCTCTATCTCTGCATGGAATACTGCAGCGGTGGTGAATTCTTCAGAGGTATGTTGGCTCTAACTGATCATCGAGGCGAAGGCTGACCTGTTGGCGCAGCGTTGCAAACGCGACCAGGCAAATGCATTTCGGAAGATGCCGCCCGTTTCTACGCAGCAGAGGTGACTGCCGCTCTGGAATATCTCCACCTCATGGGGTTCATCTATCGCGACTTGAAACCTGAAAGTAAGCAATCTGGATGATTTCTTGCATGGCCATGTCTCACAATGACGTATTTAGACATTCTCCTCCATCAGTCAGGCCACATCATGTTGTCTGATTTCGATTTGTCCAAGCAGTCCGGTCCGGGCGGTGCACCTACGATGATTCCGGCCCGGAGTGGCAACTCGACCACGTCTTTACCCACAATCGACACGAAGTCATGCATCGCCGATTTCAGGACGAACTCTTTTGTCGGTACGGAAGAATACATCGCCCCGGAGGTCATCAAGGGTTGCGGACATACTAGTGCCGTCGACTGGTGGACGCTGGGGATCCTGATCTATGAAATGCTTTATGGAACGACTCCTTTCAAGGGCAAGAACAGGAACGCCACCTTTGGCAATATCTTACGGGATGAAGTGCCCTTCCCGGAACATGCTGGCGCTCAGCAAATCTCCAAGTAAGTGGAAGCTGATTGCTGCAATCATGGTATTGACGCTAATATGTGCGCAGTCTTTGCAAGTCTCTGATTCGCAAGCTGCTGATCAAAGATGAGACCAAGCGCCTAGGCGCGCGGGCCGGTGCCTCTGATGTCAAGACACATCCTTTCTTCCGACAGACGCAATGGGCACTTATCCGTCACATGAAGCCGCCCATGATCCCTCACCAGAGCCGCGGAACCGACACTCTTAACTTCCGGAATGTCAAGGAGAGCGCGAGTGTCGATATCGGAGGCAGTCAGCCGATGAAGATGAAGGGTGTTCCTATGGACTCGGGCCTAGCTACGCCTAATGCCGAGGTGGCGGATCCATTTGAGGAGTTCAACAGCGTCACCCTCCATCATGACGGGGATATGTAGAGCGATTCTACATCATTGCATGGACATTGCTCTGATGGACGACAGACGAAAGCACCCAAGCTACGGCGCCTCGGCTCTGTCACGACCATAACGCCTCAAGACGAAGATCCCTGCGTTCGACTTTCTCGATTTCATACAGTTATCACCCGGAGTACTGGTGCTTTTCTCCCGGGGTTTAATTATGGGTGTTGTTCTTGAATTATGTTGATGATCAGGTACATAAATGGCATTCGCATACACTATATGCATGGCCATTTTCGGGACATTTTTGTTACTGCTGGATGTTGCAGCGATGTGATTCGGCCTGCGCTCCGCTTTTCTTGCGTGTTGTTCTTGCATTTTCCAGTCTCATCATTGCAAAAGACGGCGTTTGCGATCTCGGTTTGTATCGTACTAAAACATGTTGTTTCGAAGCGGTCGGTGGAAGGCCGGCCGACCTTTTTTGCGTCTGAGAGGCCCGGTGCCTTGAGATGATACATGCTGTTAGTATATGAATGAATCTATGTATCAGCGATATGAAGAATGGGTGCGGGGCGCGTAGTATTGCGGTGTAATCGGCAGAAGCCCGTAATGTAGATGATCGTCAGAGTGTCATTGCCAGTGTACGGAGTAGGCTGTCAACAATCAACATACGGCGTGTGCATTGGCCATGACGGAATTGCCTCCGCCCGCGGGACAAACCCAAACACAGCCAACCAACCACAATGAATTCACCCCAAATTCCAAAACTCCGAATCTGAACCCACGCATTCAATCACTTGAATTGCGTCCAATCGCGACGACATCTTCCCTCTGTGATATCGCGAGGGGGCAACATACTCGCTACCTTTGAAGCGATACAACTCAACACCAACGCCATCAGCAAAATGTCCCACCTCACCGATCTCGCCTCCTCCCCCGCCGCGGACCACCTAGATAGTAACAACAGCCCCGAAGACCTCACAGACAACAACGCAACCAGCGCACCCGCAAGCCGACCCAAAAGCACCAGCACCACCAACCCCCTCCTCAACCCTGCCAACTCCCTCGTCTCGGATCTGGAGCAAGAGGTCCTGGATGAGTATGCCCGGTTACTTGGGAATGTGAATGAGGTGTGTGTGTGCATAGATACCTTGGCCCTTTTCTTCAGTCCTTCAGTCCTACCCGAATGAAGAAACAGTGACCCTGTTTTTGAACCCCCACTCACACACCCTTCCCTTCCCTCGAAAACCTTAGAATCACCGTTCTAGTCAATCAATCAAAAAAGACACTGCTAACCAAAAACCCCCTCCCCACCCCCCAATGCCTTGGGATGGGAGGGAAACAAACAAACAGTTATCTACCAAACTCGCCGATTTAGCAGGCCACCCCTCCTCCTTAACACTAGATGGTCTCCGCCACCTCGAGCGAAAGACCGCGACCGTGTGCACGTTGTTGAAGGCGAGTGTTTATAGTATTGTGTTGCAGCAGCAGATGATTAATGAGGTGGAGGGTGGGGGCGAGGATCAGGCGCAGGGGATGGGGGGAGATGGAGGAGGGTATAACGATGGGGGAGAGGGGGACGTGGAGGGGGAGGGGATGGATGGTGGGTTGGGGATGGGGTATAGGCAGCAGGGGTATTATGATGAAGAGGAAGATGGAATGGACGGGGGCAGTTTTGTTGGGAGGTACTAGCTTTAGGAGATGTTTTTTTGAGATGGGTTTTGTTGTCTACTGAGGGTTGGTTATTGATTGGATTTTGGCGTTCGCTTCGGGGGATGGGTTCTCTTCTTTTATTCTGGTTTGTGGTGATATACCCCGTGTGCTTTTCTGTTATGGAGGGATTTGGTTATGGTTATGATGATGATTATACTAGTTATATTGTTGTGGTCATAGTGGTTGTAGGTGTGGTGATGGTTATGATTTATGATTCTGCTGGTTGTAGTTATGGTTATAGCTAGGGGTGGGTGGGAATATGGGTGTACGTTTGGTTCAGTAATGGGTTGAGCAATGGTAAGGTAAAGGCATGGTTATGTGAAGATAAGTGTGGAAATGTCTCACCAAGATAAAATACAGTAGCAACATGAAATCCTCACTTCTATCATGAACCGAACCCAGGCTGGATACAAATACAGGGTTAACACAGAGAGAAGACAAGCCACAAACATTATTTACATCCCGAATTACTGGACTCTGCCAGAGTAGTACACCTTGCGCACATCCACCATCTTCTTCCCCCGGGCACGAGCCACATCCTCGGGGTTCTTCTGCGATAGGAGCGCCGCAAAGGCCGCCTTGACCGTGTTCATCTTGTTGCGGGACCGGTTCACCCGGGCTGCGAGATCAGAGATACCCGCCGCACGGCAGATCTCGTAGATGAGGGATTGGCAGCGGAGGCCGAAGCCTGAGGATGGTTATATTAGCACGACACTCAGACAACAAAAAGACCAAAACACATACCTGGAGGGCGAGTCATTAACTTCAAATCCATCGCACCAACCTTGGCCGTCACATCGCCGAAGATGGTCCGGTCCTCGTACCGCAGAATGGGCTGCATATTCCGGATCGCACGGTACCTCGACTGCTCCTGAGCATCTGCCGCTTCAAAAGACTTGGCCTCGCCTAGTCCGATCAAGCCTTTCCTGTTGCCGGCAACGCTCAGGGAGTAATACCGTTGCACCTTACCGAGACGCGTCTGGTTGGTGACGGTGTGGAACACCAACACCTTGGTGTACAGCCCGCCGATGTACTCCTTGCTGAGGCCCGTGGACTCAATCAACTGCTTCAATGGCGGCGCCTCCTTCTCCAACGACGCCCCCGGCTTAAGGATGCTCTCGTCGGCAACCAGGCCCTCCTTGCCTTCGTCGTCCATCTCGCGCAGCTTCTCGCCCTGCTGAAAGAAATCCGGCGCCATCGCACTGTGCGGGTTGCGTTCCGCCTCCTCCTTGCCCTTGGTCACCCGCGTGGTCTCCGCAAACCGGATAAAGTGTTCCACGCTAAAGTCCTCGCGCGGCGTCTCCATCATGTATTTGGCAAAGTCGGCCACGATCTCATCTTCGGTCTTCATCTTCTGCTGGTAGTCGGAGTTGGTCTTGGGGGCCCGCTTGTTCTTGTCCACGCCGGGCTCGATGTGCGAGAAGTCGTCCAGATACTTCATTCGCATCGGGTCCGAGCGGATGCCAAATTGCTCCGCCATGTCCTTGGGGTCGATGGCCGCCTCGCCCGCTTCGATTGCAGCGATCTGCTCCGGGCTGTACACCTCCGCCAGCGCGGCTCGTTCCTCCTCCGTGTATGGCCGCAGGCTCTCGGGCTTCATGGTCCGCGAGATCTCCTCCAACTTCATCTTCACCTCTTCCGGCTTGTTCTGAGAGACCACAGGGGGCACCGCGGCAGGGTCTTTGGGCTTCTGGTCGTTAAGGCGGAAGGGAGAAGGGTGGAATTGGCGACGAGGCACGCGAGGAGCCGCCGAGGCTGCTCGCGACAAGTTGCAGAACATGCATCGGGCGGGGCGAGTGAGGCTCATGTTGGAAGAGAGGTTGAGGTAAAGCTCCCTGGCCAGCAGAGGCCGATTGAGAGCTAGGCGGAAAAAGGAGGGTGGGGGGTGAGGATTTGAGGGGTGGAAAGTTGAAGGGGAAATGGTTTAAGATCGGGATAAGTTCAGGTGAAGATGAGAACAAACGAAACTCCGGCGAAATTCTCAGCGGGCCGATCCAGCCAATCCGCGCCCGCCTTTTCCTGCTCACTCAACTTTTTCTAACTTCCTTTCCCCAACTTTCGACATTCTTTAATTTCTCCCTCCTTCGCTCTTCCCCCGCGCTCCAACCGTGCTTCAATTTACGGTCAGTCTTGCTGAACGGCGCGGGTTCCCAGCGTTCATCAAATGTTTGCATTGCGGTCATTGCGCCTGTTTTCTCAAAGACTCCCCTCGAGATTGTCCCTCCAGACTCCCCCCCGCCTGGTCCACACTCGTCCACATCCAGATATCGATCAGCGATTGAGCGCTGTCGTTCGAAACATGCAGAACGCACCCAAGAAGCCCGCCAACCCGCCCAAGCGGCGCAAGCAGCTCCGCAATGAGAAGCTCAAAGGCTTCGACGAGGTCCTCCAGGCCGATATCGATGCGCTTCTCCGCAAACACAAGCCCGAAACCGAGGTCGAATACCTGACGCCTCAAGAGCCCGCCTTGCCCGAGCTCTTCTCCGAGATTGAAGTCCAAGTCGCCGAGATTTCGTCCACGGGGGATGGTCTGGCCTTGTCGGAGAAGCAGGACCATGTCTACGTGGTGCCCTTCAGCGTCCCCGGAGACAAAGTGCTGATCAAGGTTGTGCGCCATTTCGCCTCTCTCCAATACACTCTCGCCGACTTCATCAAGGTCGTCGAACCCGGCCCCCAGCGCAACGACGCCGGCATCGGCTGCCAGTACTTCGGGAAGTGCTCGGGCTGCCAGCTCCAGATGATGTCCTACGAGGACCAACTGGCGCACAAGAAGCGCATTGTCGAGAAAGCCTACGCCAACTTCTCCGGCCTCATTCCCGAGCTGATCCCCGCCATCGGCGACACCTTCCCCTCTCCACTGCAATACGGTTACCGCACCAAGCTCACGCCGCACTTCGCCGCTCCCCCCGGCAGTGGCCGCGGCCGTCGCAACAAGGACTCGGGCGTGCGACACACCGAGGTCCCGCCCATCGGCTTCACCTACAAGAACCGGCGCACCGACCTCGACATTGAAGATTGCCCGCTGGGCACCGAGATCGTGCGCCAGGGCCTCAAGAGCGAGCGCAAGCGCGTGGCCGAGCGTCTCTCCACGTACAGCCAGGGCGCGACGCTCCTGCTGCGCGAATCCACCTCGCGCATCCCCAAGGGCGACCAGGCCGCCGCCGCGAAGACCGAGTGGCCGCGCACCGACGACCTCAACCATATCAACGACTACTCCGCCGACCTCATCCGCAACGAGACCGACACCTACACCGAAGAGAAACGCTGCGTGACCAACCCCAACGCCACGACGGTCGAATACGTCGACAACTACGTCTTCACCAACAAAGCCGGCGCCTTCTTCCAAAACAACAACTCCATCCTCACCGGCTTCACCGACTACATCCGCCAACACGCCCTCGCACCACCTCCTTCCACTAACCCCTCCTCCTCCACCTCCACCTCCACCCCCAATGATCCATCCACCCAACCAATCAAATACCTCCTAGACGCCTACTCCGGCTCCGGCCTCTTCACCATCACCCTCTCCCCGCTCTTCAAATCCAGCCTCGGCGTCGACGTCGCCGGCGACTCCATCCTGTCCGCCCGCCAGAACGCCCGCGCCAACGCCCTCCCCAACACCGGCTTCGCCGCCGCTGACGCCGCCGTCCTCTTCAAGGACGTCCCCTACCCCGCCGACCAGACCCTGCTCGTCATCGACCCGCCCCGCAAGGGGTGCAGCGACGACTTCCTCCGCCAGCTGCTCGCCTACGGCCCCAAGCGCGTCGTCTACGTCTCCTGTAATGTCCACACCCAGGCCCGCGACGTCGGCGTCATGGTCCAGGGCAGCCCCGTCCATAAGATCCGGTACGAAATTGAGAGCATAAGGGGCTTTGACTTCTTTCCGCAGACGGGGCATGTTGAGGGTGTGGCGGTGTTGAATCGCGTGGCGATTCCGGAGGGGGAAGGGGAGTCGGCTTAGTTTGGTTTGGTTTGATTGGTCAACGCTGAGGGATTGAGGGTTGGGTGGTGAATATGGCTGTTGTATGGTGAGGTGAGTCGAGGTGAAGTGTGGATGAGTGTTGGATTTTACTATTTACCTGTGCTTGATGTATACATATTACGTGCTTATTGGCGTTGTGGGGCCGGGGTATTCCAAAAATAGTGCCGTGTTTACGTTTCAGACTGGGTTACTTCGGCTGTGATGTGGGTTGGTTACGTCGGGGACTGTCAAGTAACTATCTTAACGTTGATTGCCTCTACATTGCATCCATATTATATACATCGAGTGTGGGAGTGACGCACAGGTGAGTCTTGCAGTTTGAGATCGTGCATGCCAGCGTCTCGGACCGGTTGATTCACTTATAACAGCCTTTGTTTTGTGGTCACAATCATGAAGATAGAAGAGAAGACTATGGACAGAGCAAAACAAGGCACGATATCTCACACGCCAATCAGACTCCAAAAAAAACCATCTATGCGCTGCCGGGTCCACCCAGAAGAGCGAACCGACGGACAATGCTGGGGCCGATCTCGTCGTACTCGGCCTTGGTGTGGCAGTAGCTGCGGAACTCGGGCGTTTGACCCAACAAGCTACCGCCGAACCATGGGCCGTGGCGCTGTCGCTTGTGTGTGACGACAGCCACGTCCAGACCGCCACTGCGCGCGCCGCCGCTGCGAGCCTCCGAGGCGCGGATGCGAGCGTCTACCAAGTGGCGGATGTCACGCTGTAGGCGACGGCCGAAGTCCTTGTACAGAGTGGACCCACCAGACAGCACGATGTTCTTGTAGAGACCTCTGCGGACGTCGATGGGGGATGACTGGATTACGCCGTCGACAACGTTGGGCAAGGGAGTCAGAAAGTCGGATGAGTAGATCTCCGGGTTGAAGAAGATCTCGGGGGCCAGGAAGCGCTCGTAGCCGACGTCGATGCTCACGCTGCGGCCGTTGGGCGAGGTCACGGTGTGCTTGAGGAAGCGGTCGGGCTCGCGGTCGTAGCGCGCAAACTCCTTGACAATGTCGGGGCACACGTAGCAGTATTCCTCCTTGACCTTCTCGGCGGTCTTCAAGCTGCTATCCGGCTCGCCTCGGTCTCGGAGCAGGCTCTGGACGAAGTAAGTGATATCGCGACCGGCGATGGGAATGCTCTTGATCGATGATCCAATGACGTAGCCCTCTGCGACGGGAATAACATGCGTAACACCATCACCAGAGTCGATGACCGTTCCGGTAAGCGATCGATCGGTGACCTTCGAGGAGGTCCACGAGGCAGCCAGGGCCAGCACGGCTTGGACGGCGATGTAAAGACCGGCGCAATTGAACGACTCGAACATGATCTCGGCGGTGTTTTCACGGTTCTCAGGAGGGTTCAAGGGCTGGTAGAAGGAGATCATCCGTTAGTAAACCATTCTTTAAATCCGCAATAGCACCGGGTTAGATTGTAGCGTACGGGTTCGGTGAGAAGGAAGTAGTGGTCTTCCGGTTCCACGCGCAGGTACTTGAAGATGGAATTGGACCAGAATCGCTCCATGTGGTCCCAGTTTTCGATCTGACCATGGCGGATGGGGTAGTTGATCGCATAACCGGGGCCATTGGCCGCTGCCAGAGCTTCGTCGCCAATGAAGTAGTCCAAGTCCTCCGTACCACGCTTCGCGGACAAGTGCGAGCTTGCCCCACCACCACCACCGGCCAGGAACGATGGCTTATTCGCAACCGGAGGCCGGCCGGGGGCGGAACCTGCAGCACTTCCGGCGCCAGCTTTGGTAGCAATTGCGGTGGGAAAGACGAAGGACGGCGAGTCGTTACCGGCGAAACCTGGTGACTTGTCAGCCTAGAGCTCCGTGGGGGTAGGCAGTCAAGATAACTGGAGTCCGAGTGTTGGAGCTTACCAAGCTTGGAGTAACCAGTTCCGCTGAGCAAAGAAACACATAATCAGCTACTGCGAAATCGTTCAGCGAGCAAAGGAGGTGGTTGGGCGACTTACTTGTCCATGACAACGGCCGGAGTTTGGGAGGCCATGACGGATGATGTGGAGTACACGCACTCCCCCTTACTATCAGGTCGCGGAAGGTAGGCGTCGGGGGTGAAGGGAATTGACGGATTAGGTGAATGGAAGAATCAAAAGCAAGCGAAAGGCTGACCCGCGAGAGAGAATATCGCAAAGGGGGGAAGGGCGAGGGAAATGAGAGAGGGGTGGAATAGTCGGAGAGAGAGATTGGGGGGGGGGTGTGGACTTGAATGGAGGGGAGGTGGAGGGAACGGATCGGAGGCGGGCAACACACTCTGGATACTCTCCGTCATGTGCGCGGCACGTGTTAGGCCTGACAACTCCGTCGCCGCCATTTATGGAGTAGTCACTCAACTATCTATAAGTTGGTTATAGCAGTGCATCTTCCAGTATGTCTCCTTCTTCTGTTTTGCAAGAACAACCTCAATTGTGTCGTGTCGTGGAATAAACAAACCTGACCTAAAAAAATATGGAGCTCCAGATGGAATTGCCTGCCAAGAGGGCAACTGCATTGAACTGCAACTGCAACTTATTTTGAAATCTGGTGTATTAAAGGAAGGACCCCGTGCTGGGATTGATTCTTCACATCATCACCGTTGATCATGTCTTCTACGATCTGCATCTCTTCAACTGTCCTATACACCTCCTAAACTCCTCCATCTATCAGTACCGACTTCTTATTCTTTTGTCTGGTGGTGGCATGTTGTCTGCTATTGTTCGTATACCTTACCAAATCTGTGGTGTATATTTATAGAGACAGGTTGTGGTTCCTGTGGCTGCGATTCTCCCCCTCACCACTCTGCGGCTGTGCCTTGTTCAGCGGCTGCAATTGCATTCACCTGTTCTGCTGCGAATTCAAGCGGATACTCTGACTGTAGCGGCCAATTGCACCATATACTTGCTTAGTCGCACGGTGAGGATCAGAACACGCTCAGGTCTGGGAAAACGCCGTGTTCCTCTTCACATCTTCCACTCCCTAAGCACTTCGTCTTTGAAGCTACCAATTCCAGTATCCAGTCAGTTGATTATTGCAGTCTGCTCTAAACATCTCGACCACTAACTTGGTGCTGCAGCCGAAGTGAGCCAACAACCACCCACCTATCTGTTGAGTCCTCCCTGCTCAGGCAAACCTATCACGAAGCCGAGTCTTGTCCGAGAGTTCTTCTCGCGGCATCTGCGTCTGATGATGTGTGCCAACAAAGGTGGTGGAGGCGTTGCCACCATCTATGTCCATGCCGGCGCTGGCTTCCATAGTGTTGTCAATGAGCATTTACACCTGCAGGCATGCGAGAAGTGAGTCTACCTAGCCTGCTTCCGTGCTTCATTCGGTAATGGGAGGTTCTAAATCGAGCAGGGCCGCGCGCTCAGGAATGGCCATTCTACGAAACGGTGGAACAGCTGTCGAGGCGGTCGAAATGGCCATCATGTTCCTGGAGGATGCAGAAATCACCAACTCTGGCTACGGCAGTAATTTGACAATCGACGGTGAAGTCGAATGTGATGCTACCATTGTCAATCACCTCGGACGAAGCGGCGCAGTTGGAGCTGTGTCCCGTAAGTATTCCTTTCAGCCGGAAAGAATGACTGGTGGACCATTCAACTAAGTCCCACTGTAGAAGTCAAGAATCCCATCCAAGTGGCACGGAGCATCCTGAACACATCATCACAGCCACTATCCTTGGCCCGTGTTCCCCCTAATTTTCTGGTTGGACGGGGTGCCAGAGACTTTGCCTACGACCAGGGACTAGTGGTATTGCCCCCTGATGCTCTGATCGCTCCGAGTGCGAAAGAAAGATGGCGTCGCTGGCAGCAGGAGCTACAAGCTGCGGAGCACAAGGAACGGAACAAGCTGGGCAACTACATCCCCTACCAGGCCTGTTATCGCCGTCCTGTTGCGGTGAACCCGGCCTCATTGGCCAATTCGTCCAGTCCTCGTCTTCCCCCCTCGGCTGCACCCAACGCTGTTGTTCCCGGCTACTCGGAGCCTACAGACCCACGTTTGACCTGCACCACTGTCGCGCTAGCGGCACCAGCCCGCACACTTTCTGATACCTCTGCACTTAAGGATGGCAGATACGTGGACGGAGTGTCTGGCGCATCCGCTATGGATGTTGATGGTTCGTCTGAAGCCTCAGCCACTCAAGGCTGGGACGAGATGAAATACGACGCCATTAGTGATACGGTTGGGGCCATCGCTGTCGATAGTTGGGGCAACATAGCCGCAGGTTCATCCTCTGGTGGTATTGGGATGAAGCATTCTGGCCGTATCGGACCTGCGGCACTTGTTGGTATTGGCACAGATGTGATCCCTGCCGATCCCAGCGATCCTGAGATGACTAGTGTCGCAACCGTAACTTCGGGGACAGGTGAGCATATTGCTACAACCATGGCCGCTCATACGTGTGCGATGCGCATTTACTACAGTCAAAAGAAACACCCCGACGGCACATTCGAAGAGGTTTCTGAAGAGGAGGCAATGAGCTCAATGATCGGCTCTGACTTTATGGGTATTTACCCTCGAGGCTTTCTACCTGAATTAGCTGACGTACATGTCCAGGCCATCCCGGCGTCCGTGGAAGTAACTGCCAGGCAGCTATTGGCATCATGGCAGTCAAGAAGACAACGCACGGCATCTACCTCTACTTTGGCCACAATACAGATTCATTCGTAAGCTTGATCGACCGTGGACTGGTTCCAGGGGCTATACTGAGTACATCAGGTGATCTCTTCCATGAGCAGCGAGGATAAACAGCCTGTGTGTGTCATGTCCCGCAACAACGGCAACGGTAGCATTGCTCAGGGTGGCCGCGCTACTCACAACAAACCGGCATCGCCAGCGAAGTGATGGGCAAGGTTGAACCTGCCTTCGCCGATAAATCCGCGCAAATCTGGCACTGCGCTCCGAGTTGAAGTTGACCAGTTTCCAGAGTAAGTATTTATTGGTCTACCCTTGAACCTGCTATTATGATTTCGACGTTGTGATTTACCTAACGGATCCTTAGAGATGACCGACGATTCCTCGGCCCAAACTTCATTTTCCGGCCAATGCTTCCTATTTAGCCGAGCCCGGGCGAAGGTAGGGATCATTCTCACTGAAAGCTCATCCACCAGGAGGCAGATCAGGAAATATGGTATGGCTGGCGCCAAGCACTGCTTGCATCATCCATTGATGGATTGAAATGTGTCAAATAAGCTGGCGATAAGAGGTGGAGAACCGAGGGTATCCGTTTCCTATGTACTTCCACAAGCCTAAGAGGCCACGAATAATACAGTAATGCCAAAGGATGGGTTCCTAAATATGCACCTTGTATGACCGATCGGAGTAGCGAGAACGGCATGACCACCGCAGTGGACAGACACAGCCGCTTGATCCCCCTCACGGACCAGGCGTGGGTGTCGGGGTGGGCGTCGCCGAGGGCGCATTGGCACCAGCACGCACCTTCTTCTTTTTCTTCTTGCGCGCCACAACCGCCGGCTTGGCGCCGTAGTCTCCCATCTCCAGCGTCGAGCCACACGTCAGACACTCGCCCTTCTCCAGTGGCTCGCAGAAGATACTCAGACAGATGGAGCACACGAACCCGATATCCACCACCCGACGATGACAGAAACACGCCGCGCGGAAATCGACATCCACGCGCGTGGGCAGGATCAGATGACGGCGGGACCGCTGGTCCGGCAAGAACGCCATCATCAGGTACTGCAGCAGGCCCTTGGGCTCGGCGAGGGCCATGTACACCCCCTTGGTGGCGTCGGCGGCCTGCTGCAAGAACACGGCGTCGCCGCTGAGCTTGCACACGTCGATGGGGATATGCAGGCGCTGACAGGCGAAGATGGCGTTCATTATGGGGATATACTGGTGGGCAGAGCCCGTGGCGCTACTGACGGAGAGGATGAGGATCCGCGACTGCAAGCCTGAATCTGTTGTTGATCGTGTGACTTCAGCACTACCACCACCACCACCAGTTGTGCTACCTGCACCACCACCAGCAGTAGCCGCATTTGGATCTGTCTCCCCGCCATGCGCCTCAGCCCACGCAATCGTCCGCCGATTAATATGACTGAGCGCTAACGTCAACGCCCCCGCCATCAACGTGGAATTCGTCGCCTCCAGATCCTTCGGGGTGGTGGTCGCCAGGAGATCATGCAAATTCTGGGTAATCTGCTCCTCGACGATTCGGAACGGCCGGTATTTGTTCATTTCGTTGGCCGGGGGTGGACGGTTGGTGGTGGTCCGCTGCTGCTGCATGGGCGTGTCGCCATCGCTGTCGGTGGGTTTCTTTGTGGGGGGGTTCGCGACCGGGTACAGCCATCTGGCTTCTTGGGTGTGCGAGGCGACGACGGCGACTTCGTTGGCGTAGTTGCAGGCGAGGTGGGCGTTCAGGAAGACGAGGATGTTGGCGACGGCGGTCGAGAGCGGGAGGGCGGTTGCGGAGGGTTGGCTGAGTTGGGCCCAGGCGTGGGGATTGGTGTCGAGGATAACGGTTAGGAGAGAGGGGGGGCGGTCTGCATTTCAATTAGTTGGGTGCTTGTAAATTGAGAGATCTGGAGATCAGGGGAGGTGTACCGTGGGCACTCGATGAATAGTGCTCTGTTGCGTCGATGGTGTTCATGTTGACAGGTTGGGTTGAGTTCGACTCGGGTTTATGGAGGTGAACTCCAGGGGAGTGAGTGATGTGGAGGACTCTAGTACTCAATGGGCGGAAGGATTCATGGTAACGCAAGTGAAAGGCAGTACAGTGTCGGATCGTCCGGTGTGAAGCACAGAAACCATACGGAGAGGAGGAGTATAAAGCATGGAGGATAGGATAAAGATAAGGCGGAGGAAATGGCTACACCGCCTCAGTCACCGCTTACACAATTGGGCTGGGCAAAGATGGCGAGTTACTTGCCTCATCGGGAATAGTGTCTGTTGACTGTATACTTGGGTAGAGGTGGAATCTATACACGCCTTTCCATATCCGAACGCCCTGTCAACTGGATTGAACTTGAAGTGTTTTAATCCTAGACTCATCAGGAATATCATATCTACTTCACATCTCAAAGAGCAAACGAATCGTTGCGCTGAGCATTCTCAACTATGGTTCCCGGAGAGCCAGCATTGTCATGAGGATATGGAGCTGGAAGTGTGCCCCTCTCAGGTCTTTCCTTACGCAAGAAAGAGCAAATCGAGGATATGCTAAGCTGGGCTCAAAGTAATTCCGAGAAAGTAATTCTGAGCCTGTCTCATTCATCAAAGACATCTACGACTGGAGCTGAGACGCTCATATCATCACCCACCATCATAGCCCACTCACCCAAAATGAACAGCCAACTCAAAGACACGCCATCCTACTGCGCCTAGAAGGCCACGAAGTGCACATCGGAGGCGAGGAGAGGGTCTCCTCCTCACGCGCGAAATCTCCGAGCACCTCGTCTACGAAACCCCACGAGCGAAAAGTCGTCTGCCATGCGCATCGCGTCCTCTCGACAATACCGAGAGTTGCCGTGAAAACGAGAGTTGTCGTGAAAATGCACCTCCAGTAGGTAAGTGAGCCAGGGCCTATACCCATCATATGTAAGCCCTTCCCCCCCCCGGTGGTGGGGGTAAGGAATACAGTATCCGAAACTGATTATTATGGCTCGAAGGCTGTCACTTCCGTATACGGAGCTGGGGTTCGACCCTCAGACAGCTGCAGAGTGCGCGGTTCGTAGTATTTTTCTGAGATGAGATTGATGCCCATAAAAATTTCGAGGACGCTTTGGGGGGAGTTTGGGCATGGGATTTGGCACAATATGTAATGTGAATTGCAATCGGTCTAGCTAGCAATACCTTGACAGCCTCGGTGGATTTGCTCTTGATGGGTTTGAGATTTCTTCACCTTTTTCCATCACTACAAATGAGACTGAGAGTGTGAACGTTAATCTTAGCTTCTTTCGCTTGATTGAAGCAAGAGTACAACGCATTAGTACCGAAGTAAAACCACCAGCCAAAAAAAAATAGAGCAATGATATCATTTCAACCGGGGCTGTTCCTTTCCCGAGCATGTGACATTGGCATTCTCCCCTCTAAATTCAGTTACTTCCCTGCTACTTTCAGCATCGTACCTTTTAAACATGATTTGAACAAAATAAAAATAAACTTGGAGGGTATACTTCCTATACTTCTAGAGATCTCACAAACAGTCTCCGTCTATAGATCATGGCTTTCACCAATAGACTAGCAATACTTCCCGGAGGTCTAGGTAGGTCATAAAATATACTGTACAAATCCTCTCTAGTATCTCCTTCTCCATCCCCACTGCCACTACCAAACTCACTTCTCATCTCAATCACCATGAAATGTTAATGAACAGAATGTAGGCGGCTTAGGCACCAGCATCGGCCAAAAGCTCCGCCAGCAAGGCGCCCGCCTAGCCATCCTCTACGCCCCCTTCGAGGCCGCCCGGCGCGACCAGCTCCTCGAGGCTGGGTACGGGCACCGGGACGGGGACGCCAACACCCACCCGGACATCCACACCTACGAATGCGACATTACCTCGCCTGACTCGGTGCAGGCGGCGTTTACGAAGCTGGAGGCAGAGTTGGTGACGAGGGTATCCTCTCCCAGCAGTACGAGTACGACACAAAGACCACCACCCACCTTTCCAAGTATCCTGATCAATACGGCCGGGTATGTCTCCCTGAGTGACATGGAGGCTACGCCGCCGGAGGAGACGGTGAAACATCTTACGACCAATGTGTTGGGGCCGATGCTGTGCGCGCAGGCGTTTGCGCGGCTGTATTTCAAACGAGCGGCGGCGACGGCGGGGGGTGCTGGAGGGTTAGACGTCTCGTCGTCACCACCGCCAGGGAGGATTGTGAATCTCGCGTCCCAGGCGGCTCATGTGGCTTTACCGCGCCACGGGGCATATTGTGCCTCCAAAGCGGCACTGTTGGGGCTGACGCGGAGCATGGCGTCTGAGTGGGCAGGGCGGGGCATCACAGCCAATTCGGTGTCCCCCACCGTGGCGTGGACGGAGCTGGGCAAAAAGGCCTGGGGGGAGACATCCGTCAAGGAGGCCTTCCTGAAATCTATCCCAACGGGCAAGTTTGCTCTGCCGGAGGAGGTGGCGGACGCGGTGCTGTTTCTGTGCCAGGTAAGTAGCCGAGTGTCAAAACTTGTCTGCGGGTGGTTAGTCGTAACTGATGGCTTGAAAGGACTCGAGCGGGATGATAAATGGCGCCGATGTCAGGGTCGATGGGGGGTTCACTATCCGGTGATGGTTTCCGTATCAATTGCTGGCTGAGGGGGGTTTCTACAGGTGCTGGGGTGGTCGCAAAAGGGCAGGCTCATCGGATCCAGAACGGTTTATCGCTAATTCGTGCCAGCTGGACCGCGGTAGGAGTATCTAACAAGCTATGAAAGCTTACTACTACCCACTATCCGTCCACAAAGGACAAACCTAAACGATGATCGAGTTCTAGATGGGATGGAGATCCCACGTGCAATCTATGTGTAATTAATCGGGCGAAATGTCCAGCTGGCCGCTTGTTGAACCATCACCGGAAGCTGCTCAGATGAGTGCCTACGGCTTCACGTGAAGACGGTTGTCCTTCTCCTCCGTCTGTTCCAGCACGGGAATTGAGATCGAGTCTTTGAGTGCCCTGGCTGTAGGCTGCGCCAGAGGGCTGGGTTGCGGTGAGACTCCCGGCGTCCCGCGTTTGCTTTCATGTTCAGTGAGTCCTTTTCGAATGGCAAGGACTGAGTCCACAATCACCGCATCGATTCCCTCGGCAACTTGCAGCTATGAAACGGTTAGAGAAGACACTCAATCTACGCAGCCAGGGGCTTACTTTGACATTGGCCGGGTCGTTGTTGATGGCTCCATAGGACACACACACCAACCCAGATTCCTTCACCACTCGGACGAGCCGAGGACACAGAACAAGAGCCTCGGCCTGCGAGACAACGCCGAGCAGGTTCCATCGGGATGCGAAGCGAACCGCTTCCTGTAGACTACTAGCACGGATATCGCCAACAGGAGATGCTCCGGAGTCCGACAGGAAAAGCACTGGAATGGACGGTTGCTTGAAGGAAAGCAGCAAGCACACGTCCGGGTTGAAGCTGGAGAAGATCATGTTGCGTCCCTGGCCTAGATCATAGACCTTGGTAAGGACAGTGTCCACGAATGAATTCAGCTCCACCGCATAAGTGTCCATTTCTTCCTCCTCGCTCTCGTGGAGCATGGGATACTCTGCAACCTTGGTCAGATCGTCCTTGAACTACTCTCGATGGGATACTCACTCAGCTCGATGTTGAATCCAACGGATTGAGGTAGTTTCTTGAACAGTTCCTCCAAGGTGGCGAAAGGAGCTTGGATGTGGTTGCCACGGCTGTTGCCTTTAAAGCCCTTCTTTTTGAAGTCACGGGTATGCTTGATTTTCTCGTTCATCTCAGACGGATCATATTCTGAACCACCGACGGACATCGACCGCGGGCGAGTATTGAAGTAGTTGTCTTTGCCTAGCACGTCTGGCGTTTGCGGCGGTGAACCAGGCCGACGGGCAGGTTTGTTGTCTCCTAGTTGAAGGAACTGTTCCAGAGTGAGGGTGTGGACCGGGGCGTCAATTCCCGTCTCGCTGACAAGAAAATCATGGTAAATAACAGGCACGTGGTCTTTTGTCAGCTGGACGTCGAATTCCACGTAGGAAGCACCCAGGTTTGCAGCGGCGATGAAAGACTGTACGGTATTCTCGCCGAGCTGTAATGAGTTGCGGCTGGCAAAGTTCTTACCCAAGCCACGGTGCCCAATCACCATAGTGGAACTCATACTTTTCCAGTACGTTCTGTCCCCCGTGATTGTCATGTTAGGATGCTTGAACGGCGTGATGATCAGAAAATTGAACGTGACGGAGCCAATCACTTCCAGTGTATTCGCTGCAACGATAGGAACTGTGGAGTCGCCCTTGAGGTTGATGCGATGAGAACCAAGAGTGGGCTTGATACTCGAGAGCAAAGCAACTCCTCGTCCCACAATCTTGTCCTTAGAGCCAGCGTAAGTTGGGACTAGATCGAACAAGAGCCGGACCTTCGAAGCATCCTTAGCATGGAAAACGATGGGTTCGGTGGAAATATTGTCTTGGACAGGAAGATCGATTATCTCAGGCTCCCCACGAGCCCCGCTGGCGGAAACGACGATCGAGAGGGCCGTGTCTAGCTGGGTGGAGTGAGCGCTCTCTAGAGGAATCCGGTCGAGATTGACAGCCTCAAGAGAGCTGCGCATGTCCATAGTGCCCAGACTGACCAGAATCATCGACTCATCAGTGAGATACCGATGACCGAAGGTCTTGATAGGCTCTGCGGTGCGCAGTGGGGAGCTACTGGCAGGCGCATTGGACCGCCTGTCAGCCAAAGAAGACGGCGGAGGAGATGGTGGAGCAGACGAGACAGTTGGCACGGGGATGACAGGCTCCGCTTCGCTGATCTCAGGCGGCGGCGTGACCTTTGCGAGACAACGAGCAATATCGAGATGACCTCTAAGAGCGGCATGCTCCTTTGCAGTCCAACCGGATGAGTCCAGCCTTTCAAGTTCAGCGCCTGCTTCAATTAACAATTCTACAACACGCAAGGCTCCGTCCACACAAGCAATGAACAGCGGCGTCCAGCCATACGTCTTCTCAGCGAGCTCAGTGTCAGCCTTCTGGTCCGCGTTCCCCTGTAGCAGGATCTCCGCGCACAGATCATGCCCAAAGCGAGCGGCCACATGGAGTGCAGTTTCGCCGTGATCGTCCTGGTAATTGATGTCCACACCGGCCTCGACCAAGAGCCGCACGATATCAACAAAGTTCGCTTTGGTTGCCAGAGCCAGCACAGCACTCGAGCGCGACACTTGTTTGCGGATTTTCGCTTTGTCTTTATTGGCTCCGTGCCAGTTTTCCGATTCGAGAAGACAATTAGTAGTCAAGGGATGGCCACCCACGACACTCAAATGCAGCGGAGCCCAGCCATCATTGTCTTGCCAACGTGGGCCATCGATGCCCTCGTTGACGTCAAACATATCCCACGCCTGCAGGTGCTCGATGATTACTTCGCACACAACCTTGAACCCATATTGCGCTGCATAGTGAAGCGGAGTACGCCCGGAGATATCTTTCGCAAGCAAGGCCTTGCGCTGGGAAGGCTGAAGCTGATCAAGTATATGCTGCAACAGTGACACCGGCGGATCAGATCTTTCCAAATGTTGAGGGAAATCTTCCTCTTTTACCACCGAGCGAGGCGCTTGCAGAGTGGGCAAGGCAGCAGGGGTAATATAGTTCGACGTTTCCAGAGGGAAGTCAAGGACCAAAGAAGCAGACTGTTCCGAATCACTGGTGGACTGTGCGCGACCAATAGAGATCACAAGCCGATGAATACAGTTACGCTTGTTGATATCATCCTCCTCATCGAGCGTGTCCATGCGATTAAGTAGCACTGTAATGCATGCGTTCGCGCGATAATAGATAGATCGCTGAAGGAGGCTCTGGAGAACTTTGAGATAGATGTGCTCTCCTGAGTCGTCAGCAGCTGTCTTTAAGGACTCAAGTAACTCCAGTAGAACATGTGTATCGTTCTTCCGCAACGCTTCATCAACAGCTTGCAGCATACTGGCTGGCAGATTCAGATGAGGCCGCGATCGGCCCGCTTTGAATGACAGAGACGAGTGCGTTGAGCTGGCATCATCGTTACTTTTCTGTTCCCCAAGGACGGACAAGCGGTCATTAATCTTCTTCAGAGCAGTGGTGATTTCCGGATTCGAGGCGAAGGGAAGCGGGTCCACCTTCGTCTCCAGATATTTTTGTTGCGTCTGAACGCCGACTTTTTTGTCCAGCTTCTTGGTGATCTTGATGAAGCCTCGACGATTGACTTCTCCATACCACTGCAGTTTGCGCCATTGGCCACGTAGCTCGAGCAATGCCGCCAACAAGTCCTCCACTTCTTCCGTGTCCAGGCGCTGGCGGCCATCCAGTGACGGGCCATATCGCTCTTCCAATATCTTCATACGGCGCGCGAAGTCAGCGTATTTTTTGTTGTAGAAGTAGTCAACATCTTCGAGGTTCCGGTCGAGAGCGTAGAAAAATCCTGAATGCCGAGTCAACAAGGTGCATTTCGTCTGATACAAAGAGAATAAACCCGAACTTACCTGCAAGATCAGCCTCGTGTCCCGATTTTACGTTCTCCGCCGCTGCTTTGATGAGCTTTTTCAAGTCCTTATAATGAATGTAGTTTGCGCTCCATTCCGGAACCACATTGCGGGGTAAGTTGCGTCCGAATTTCATTTTCGAGAGGTATTAAGTAGCGGAGGGTTCGAATTGTTGGCCCGAGGAGAGAGGGTGGGATATAAATCTCTAGGATTGAGGATGCGTTTGTGACCAAGGATCTTAACACAGCTGACGAAATGATGATCAAATCTAGAGGTGGATCTGGGGCAGACAAGAGAGGAAAGACAGGTCGGACTTCGAGCACAAAGCCATCCGTTAGTTTATCGCAGAGTCATGGCTGTAAGATAGAGGGGATAGTGGGAATACCCTGAATAGTCGTATACTGAGAGATTTCGGGGGTTTGAAGATTGAAGAGAAGAAAGAGAGAGCCACGGGTCATATACAGTCGGGAATCCTTGGGACCAAGCGACAAAGGAAAGGGACCGAGCTATCAGCACGTGCGAGAGTCGGCCAAGAGCCCCAAGACATATGATCGAACAAAAATATCAACTGCTAACCCCGAGTGGGGACCATAGGAATCCACTTCGACGTAAGAAGCAGAGGAATTCCGGGGCGGAATGACCATTGAACGCGGGCGGCTGGATCTGCTGCACGCCGGACGCTCCCTGATTTGCTCGCAACTTCTCCGCAGAAGATTGGTTCGGCCCAGCACTGAGTTTGAGAGTCTGTGAGGAATGAGGATCTGATGAGTTTCCGCTCCTGGATCTGTTTGGATAACAGGTCAAATAGCGGTGGCTCAGTGCTGAGCAGTGAATGATTTGACTTGGCTCTGGTTCTGACTTGGGAGGGTTCGCCTGTTGCTTGAAAAAAGGGGCCGTTGTCCTGTCTTTAAAATCTAAATTTCACACCAGGTGTTAGCCTGCCAATAGCGCAGTGAATCCTTGCCCCGGTTCATAAATTAAGCCTTCTAGATCTAGACTGTTATTGAATGGGCGGGGTTTCTGATAACCAGAGGTGATGATAGGTGAAGAGAATCATCCGGTGACCCGCTGCTTCCCCGGCTGGACTCTGGCGGATTCGAGAAGCAGAAATCATTCTGGTGGGATATTTTCCCTCGCAGCGGTGATCACCGATTCCCCTCACTGTCACCTCCCTCTGATTTGTTGCCAGATGCGTTCGGGAGGAGGAGGGGTAAAGAAGGATCTTCGTGGCCGAGTGCTGTCCATTCGGAGTTCGAAGGAGTCTATTAACCATTTTAGTATCAAGCGTGTGATTGCATAGTTCCAGATACAGTAGAACGAGGTGATAAGCTCCCAGCCGGAGCATAAGGCATGATTCTCTAGTGGTTCAATTTGAGATTGTGTTGCAGATCAGGGAATATCGTCACTGTCTGGATAGGATGGGGGGACTGTCCCCGTCAAGTCAGATGACCTTCCATGCTGCAGGTTTACTGTACTGTGCTCTACTCACTAATTTGAGATGCATATTCCTTACTTCAGTCTTGACTGTAACTTCATGATGCCTTGATTCTCCACGCTTCTCATGAACACACTTCAGAACCCAACAGAGGCATCTTGATCGCCTGACCTCGGGGTGTCTTGGGACTAGAGGACTTAATCTTGAATACTACGCACTTCCACTTGTCACGGGGACTCTTTCTACACAAGCTGACCTACAGCAAGGATCTTAATACAAGCGAAACAGGACAACATGGCCTGGCTATGGTCTGTTTCTAGCTTTCGAGGTTATCAAGAAACTGGGATTATCTGTCCACCATCGTATCTTATATCTTCTGCCAACCTCCGATGGTCCAGTTGCTGCTCATTCACTACTCAAATTAGTTGATCTCGCCAGCCTCGATGTCTAAGTCATGTCCAAATGGAAGACCATCGCTGGATTTGGGCTTTGCATACTTAATATCAGAGAAATACAGGCCTTGGTGAAGTAAGCTCAAGTGTTTGATTGCGAACAACAAAGCCTTTCGCTGGGAGAAGTCCGGATCAATGCTTGTCACTCTGTGGAGCAGGTACCTTCTCAGCGTGTGAGAGCCGCAATTCAAGACGAATTGAGGCCATGTCCGTTCCCATGCCCCGAGTTCTTGTTAGCTAAGGGCTAGTCGGGCCCTGCTGTCTAATGAATGATGGTTGTCAAATCAGAATATCGACAGCGTCGTTAGTGACATGAGATATGTCCACCTATCATGGCTCAGACACCGACGAGAGCACACTGCATCTCTGAAAACACCCTTCTTCAGTCCTAGAAGCTTTAGTAGCAACATATTACCCCTAGCTAGTCCCGTCGAATCATGTGCTTAAGATGCACGATCCCTCTCGTGTTCGAACAGAAGCATTACTATGCAGTACGTTGGTCTCCACGTTCTGCCGACAATGATTTAGAGTGTTCACTGGCTTGACTGAGAAGGAGGCAGCGGCGCGGCACCTGCTAGGGTAAGTGAGCCAACTGCGCGAGTTAGCTTGGCAGTTATAAAGTGTCAGTGAAGAACGTCGACAGGAGTGGGCCGGTGGTCCAGCTCCGATCGGTCCTGATCATGCTATCCAATTATACAGATGTAACACTATCAACGACTAGCTCCAACGCCAATTCAGTTGCGCATAACCTAGCGTCATTTTCGTGAAGAATTTGGCCAGAGGCAAGCGGCAACCCCCTTCTCACTAACTAGGCGCATTCTTACTCAACGTTGGCACAGCTGTCGACTCTCATCATGCCGTCATTCATCACGATACCTCGGTATGAGGTGAGGTGACGATGTTGCAGTTGAAGACACAGCGGCTGCGGGGGTAGAACCTCACGATGTCACCCTGCCGCATGCTTGTAACTCCTGTGACCGGAGTTGCGAGGCTACTGCACATAACGACTGGACTGCAGGCCCATTGATAGAGACTCGACCATTGAATCCTCATATATAGCTCAGAGTATGTGGTCCAAAGCAGCTACCAAACACATGAGTCAGATAGTAGCGTAGAGACTCAACCTGGTCACTTGATTCATGAGGTATGCTTGCCCTTGGTGTAGAATAGACTAGACGCATGACCTTAGTCTTGCAGAGAAAGCCCGGCAAGTGCTCTGAATGCTACCCAAGGAACAAATACGAGTCAAGCCATAAAGATAGGCAAGATCCTTCTTTGTGCTCTCATTTGCGCGCTCGGTTGTGTTCTGTAGTGAAGGCCCAACTCGAAGATGTGCATACATGAGAAAGTGAATGCTTGTCAGAAAGATAGCGGCACTGGTTCCGCACTGTACCTGTATAGCTTTAGTTGAGGTAAACTGTGCTTACATGACCTTGACAGATAAGTTGTAGTTGTCGAGCCATCATGTATACACAATATGACGTCGGTGTTCTAGCCGCAACGACGGGGCTCCATGCCGCTAAGGCTGTTTAGTTGCTGAGGCAAATGAGCCTGACAACTGAGCCTGGTTTTTTTTTTATTGTGTAAACACTCGGGGTGATATACGGGATGGTAGAATGATTGCGTAAATCAAGGAGAGAATTAGGCTCGATAGCACTGCATGAGTCAGTCTGTGCCGAATATAATTCACTTTCAGAGCTTACTGCCTTGAAGTCTGTTTCGAGGAAGGAATAAGCTTAGGGGAGTCCACGGAGTGAGTAGTCCTCTCTCGGTGACAGCAAGCTCAGTAGGATAGTGTTTCTCCGTACCTTCGCCATTATGTGAGATCTTGTTTTCGACAGGAGGTTCGAAGTTTGCTGACCTTCGGCAAGGATTCTCAAACCACAACAATCCTTTGTTTAGCTCGTCTGCCCCGCTGGTAGTAATGCGGGGGTGAGAGAAGTTGACCGCCTTCACAGCCGTGTCAAACACGATCTATGTGACTATCACATCCCACCTTTCACCTAGTACTGTGCCTCCAATATCAGCCATTGCGATATTAGCTGCAGCAGTATCCGAGGACATCTCCACATCAGCAAGAGGGTAAGCTCTACCAGCATAATCAGTTACCTTTGCTTTCACTGACAAAATCCACAAAGGTCAACATCGCCTTCATTCAACTGCAACTCTGTATTCAGCCTCACCCACAATGGCAACTTGAAGAAGCCATCGCAATTGGCGCCGTTATCAATACGAACATCATGGCAGAATCAGACCCAGCAATGCAACATCACTCCAAGCCCATTCTACTCAGGATTGCGTGACCCCGCAGCTGGTGTACTCCGTGCCCTCGACTGTCAGACGGACCTGTTTTCCTACAGTATAAAGACGGGCTGATTTCGTGTCATCAGAATGCCATTTTACAGACAAGATCCCGACATTGGATTTCAACTTTCTCCTAATTTTTACGATTTCTGCCATTACACTTCTAATTTCTCTTCCGCTGTACAGAATCGACAAGATCTTCGCAGCCGACAATGAAGCACTCCATGACCTTGGGCTTGGCGGCTTGCTTGGTGACTGGTGCCATTGCGCTCCCAGCAATTGGCGCTGACGCAGTCTCTTCAACTCATGGTACTACTGACTGAAAGCGCGGCGAGGACACCATTGGAGGTACCAGCGACTGAAGTGCAGCGAGCATATCACCGGCGGAACCAGCGACTGATAACGCCGCGACTATGTACATCCTCGACTCTGCCCTCTGAGCCCACTTGACTTGAACGCCCAACAAGGACAAGAAGTAAGCTCAATTCGAACAATGGCTCAAAGATGGACTTACCTGTCCAGGTTCCGGTATCGATTGCATGATTGCACCACAGAGTCAGAGCCATGTTACCCACCCATTAAACAAACAGTCCTGTACCAGCAAGAAATTTCCAGGCGAAAGGCAGAGCAAATCACCGATACCGGAAACACGCAAATGAATACCCCAAACAGCCGAGCATGAAGACAAAACACTCAGCAGTAAACTTCTATCATGGCTGAATCAAAAATGCAGAAGACGGAATCACCCAAACATCCTCCCCCTCTTTGTAGACCTACCATTGTAGTCCTCTTTATCACGACAACCCCAGCCATAATCCTTTCAAAGCACCCCATTAATGCAAATGCAAAAGCCCAATCCACTGCAGTACGGTCATTTTCACCACAAACAAACAACAGTCATTCTTTATAGTATCAGCAAATGTGCAAATAAGCCCACCTCCCCCCTATTTCACTTCTTCCATAAGCTGAAACCCTATAAACTCCCCAAGAAGTTAAATCCCACATAGAAAAATATTCGTATCCAGTAGATCACAAAAAACCGCGCCTTAAACTCCCACAACAACCCCAAAGGGCGGCCGGCAGGGGGTTAACGTTAAGGTCGATGTGTGGTGTGGGTTGGTTGTGTTTGCATGCGCGATTTTTCGACCACCACCACCAACACCGCCGTGCTTGAAAATGCCCGTTAGTTAACCCTACCGTTTCGATTTCGCTCAAAACCCCTACTGCCCCCTTTCATCACCCAGTTTTTCTTACGCTCTTCTCTCTCTCGCGACCCTTTTCACAAACGGATTACTTCAGGTGCGGTGAATCGCTCTGCAAGTTCTTTTCTCTTACTAGAGCATCTGAATGGGCGAACCAGATCGACCTTGAACCTATGCCCCTGCAAGAGAGATCCATATCTGAGAAACGAAACGAAGGAAAGACCAAGAAGCCTGGAGTTTCGTCTTCTTGTCTCATTAAGAAGCAGGGAATGAACCCAGACATTCCCACCTTGTTCACCAGGTCTCTCCCTACTCTCTTGCTATCTCCACTGTGGTCTCCCCACATCCATTGCCGGCCCCGTCCACCCCCGCACTCTGCTCGGTTACTCCGCATCAAGCCTTCACCTTCTCCGCCAATTACTGGATTGATATTTAACCCCTTGATCCGACTACGTTCATCTCATCAATAATACACCTCGTCGAGAATGTCATTCAATAAAAGGTATCAAGCTCATGTTGACTTCAAGAAAAGAGCACATCATTCTGGTCTATGGCGGACTCGAAAGGGGACAAATCCACTCGAATTTCCCTGACGCGTTGAGAAAATTCAGCCACCGTTCCCCACGCTCATAGGACCAGCTATAATCGTTGAGATGAGAAACACACCATAACACCCAAAGTCTCACAGGCTGATTATAAACGCCGCAAAGAACCACACAACCTAACCGAACACCAGACCCTTCACGCAAGCTTCAAACCCGCAAACTCACAACGCTTTATCGAGCACAAAAGGTATGAAACACCGAGACTGACTAGAAAATAACATAGAAGCCTCGTTATAGAGACAAAAGACCTAGGCCACCAAGGGCTTGAGGGCTTCGACACCAATCTGCAGGACAGCAGGGTTCTTGGTCTTCTTCAGCAAATTCTTCATGATTTCAATGCCATCATTCTGCTTAATGGCTTCTTTGGCCCGGCGACAGACGTCACCAGTGGCAAGGCAGGTCATGTTTCTGATACAGGTCACACCGCGGTGAACAAGCCCGTCGTCTTCTTCTTGACAGAGACCAAGCAGCAATTGAACACCACGGGGCCGTTCCAGAACACCTGCGATGGCCGCATCAAACTCGGTCAACATGGCGAGGGCTCCACCCGCGGCACTTTGCGTTGCGAGGTCGTCAGTATCGGTCAGAGCCAACAAGATATGCAGACGTTGAGCAGCACGTTTCGAGCCATCCGCGAATTTTACCACACCCGCTTCGCAGGTCATCAAATTACAAACTAGCTCGCAAGCAGCGCGCTGTACCAGGAGACTGTTGGAGAGGAGGAGGTCTTCGATGACTGACCAAGCCTGGCGAACAATGGCGTCAGGGGCGGACTCATCTGGATGCGAGGCCAGATTAGTCAGAGCCAGCAAGCTCTCAAAGACAGGGAGCAAGTCCCGCGGTTGCTCTGTGGAAAGACTGGTTGTCTCGGGGATGGAGAGCAGCGCGGTCAGAGGTCGAATGGCAGACGTGATCTGAGGGAACCCGGAGCTTGGAAAAACGAGCGCGGGATTGACAGAGATTAGAATTCGCGCGAGCGCATGAGAAGCATTGCTAACAATCTCATTCGGAGTCGAGCCTTGCTTCACGGTCGACATATTGATCAACAACTTGACGGCGCCTTGTTGCGCTTGCTTTCCACGAGATTTCCGATCACTAGACAGAGAGAGGAGGATCTTGCTCATGAGAATCTGGACGGAGGGCAGGCTTGTCTTGACACAGTCAACCAGAAGAGGAATAATTCCCGCATCCACAAGTGCGGTGCAGCGGGCAATGACGTGCTGTTCATCGTCCAAGGGATCGGAACCCTTGCGAGCGTTTGGCGATGCTTCGGCATACGACTTCAGCTGCGATACCCTCTTTTGTTCCTCTGTCAGGTTGGGGAGGAATTGCGTGAGGTTCATGATGACCATGAAGCCACCATAGAGAACTGACGGCACGGTGGAATTCTCGTGCAGCACCCGAATGAGGTTCTGTACAAAAGTCGGATCCTTAGCAAGCTGCTCCTTCACGGCGGGCTTGACCGAAGCAAATGCCAATCCTTCAATCACATTAGCAATGCCTTCACCCTTATGCTTCGACATGGCGTCCTTGAATCGATCAACAAGCTCTGTGACCCGAGTGTCGTCGTCCTGGATCTTGCCATTGGTTTCGGAGGGTGCGACCTGCGCAGAGGTCCGAACCTTGGCCAGGATGACTGCTGCCAATTCAGAGCTTTGGTCACTGCCGTTGGTGAGAAGATGGGAAAGCCAGGTAGACAAATGCTTGAAGATCGCCTCACGGCAGGCCTTGTTGACGCAAGCAGCATTAAGGAGTTCCAAAAACGAGGTCTCAACTTTCTTGCTTTTGGCATCTCTGGAAGTCAAGGGAGCTAATGCAGCCAGGAAACTCTCCGAGAGAAACAGTGCTGCGGCAGTCTCCGGAATCACCGGGAAGACGGCGGCTGTTGCAGAGAAAGCCTCGATCAAGCCGTCACTGCGGCCCTTGATTACCTTCGTCGAGATGAGCTGGGAGAACCGATTCTGGCCAACCTCCTTAGAAACCTCCAGGTATTTAACGGTTGCCAACGTAGCCTGGCTCCTCCACTCAAGAGGGAGGCGAGAATCCAGGGACGAAAGGATCACGTCGAGACTCTCGTCATCCACTAGATCTTGCAATTTGGCCGCGTCGACAGCCAGCAGCCGCGCAATACCCTTCAGCGAGCGACCGTCCATATCGTGACCGGATTCCATAAGCTTGGCGATAAAAAGTTGGAAGAGCTCACGCTCACAGTGCAGACGGGCATCCTGCGATGGCCAAACGGAAGGATCTAGGACGACAGTGTCGAGGCAAACCGCAGCTGCATCGCCCCGTTCGTAAATGTCATCGAAGAAGGTGGTGACGGAAATCTGGAGCTGGTTGGAGAAGTGCTGGCGCACACTATTGCTCTGGCGAACCAGGCCGGAGATAATATCGTCCTGCAGCGAGGACAAGGCATGTGGGTGTTGCGCCAAGATAAATTTGACACATTCTAGTGCAACCTCCTCGGGCGGTTTGAGGCCGTCGGTGCGCAAGTAGAGGGCGGCATCTTTGCCCGCAGATTCGTCCTTCCCTGAACTATATCGTCGACAGAGGTCTAGGAGATGATGTCCATTTGCCTCCTCTTCTTGGATTTTGAGGAAAGCTTCTTTGACAGCTGGATGTTCGGGTGCTAGGGTGAGCGCTTCTCGAAGGTTCCGCGAAGCGGCCTGCAATCGATGACGAAGAGCCGTTAGCCATTTGAAGCGGTCGCAAAGCGCGGAATGCGCAACCACGAAGACCGGTCGGAAATAACTGTTGGGTGCTAAAAAGAAACCAAGTCGGGCATACCTCACGATGACCAGCATCTATCAATTCAACAGCCTCTCGAGTCAAATGTACAGCACGTTCTTCGCTCGTTGAGTGAACCATGTCAGGCCTGAAAAATAGACGAGGCGGGAGCGGGAGGATTGGTCTCAAGAAAGAACCAGGTCGGAGAACGGTTGAAAAAATTGAAAGAATAAATCGGAGGAGGGGACAGCGCAGGCTGATAAGGGAACAAAGCCACGGTCGGAGGGCAGGAAGGGAAGAGGGAAGAATGAGAAAGAGAGAAAGAGGGGAGAGGCGCGAGTCAAGCCAGGGGAAGTACAGGAGTGGTGGTGAAAAGTGGAGGAGAAGTGGAGATTGTTTTGCAGTAGTAGTGATGAGGGTTGGTTAGTTGGAGAGCTGTGTGTCAACCCGCAGTAGTAGAAGTACTGTGTAGTTGTGATAATGGTTGATGGTTGAGCAACAATGCGACGGGCGGAGATTCATCGGAGGGGGAAACCCTAGTAATAAGAGAGCGGTTCTATTGAGGTAATGATCTCAATAAGAACATGAGGGGGAGTGTAGTGGTAGTGGATGGTGATGGTGGAGGTGGTTGCAAGAAGAGTCAAAAGAGCTGCTGTGCTTATCTTTCTTTCCACTATTCTTTTTTCTCTTTTTTATGTTTGAGTTTTTTTTTTTTTTTTTTTTTTTTTTTTTTTTTTTTTCCTCCAAGGTTTTTTGTGGATTGCCTGGAGACTTTCAGTGGAGGAGGATAA